TACGTGCCGCGTTGATGTCTCTAAATACTCGTTGTATCTTTACTTTAAATAAGAGTATATTGGTAAATAGTTCTGTTGTTTCCTGGGACTAGTTACGTTTATTATTCTTAAGGAAATCCTTGAGATGAGGCTAGATCCATTTAAATGCTCGTCCCCTTAGATAGGTGATAATAAATATAACTTCGTTTTCTTCTTAAAAACGTTCCTGGTTGTGCTAAATATATAGGTTATATTAGAGTAGCTATGAATCGAGTTTATTACGCTCTCCACTATACTCGTCCGGTACCTTGACCTTAATTAGTTTTAGTGCTAGAGGTGGCGGTGGTGCCTGTCCCCTTAATAGCCTGGTGGTTGATTCTATAGTAGATATATCGGCGTGTTAATCTTAGGTGTTCCACGAAAGTGGTGCTTAAAGTGTAACGAGGTGCTATTATAAGATAATAAAGATTACTATGATGGTTGGGGTCCTAATTAAGGAGATAGGGAATAGTGCTAAGATATAGTTAATAAGGTGAGGATTGATATCACGTAGTGAGATCAGATTAATATTATAAAGAATGCTAGATTCTTATTTAAGTTAAGTACACCGTTCTAATAAACGAGAACGGTGTCTCCTATATACTGCCTGGTGCCCTTAGTGGCTAGTAGTGGCTAGTAGTGCTAGCACTACTATCCTCTACTAGTATTACTATCTATTTCTAATCACGTGGTCCTTTTTGCTAGCACTAGCTAGTAGTCACGTGGTGGCTAGCTGGTGCTAGCCACTATTCGGCCTTATACCGGTGACGCCGGTCTTGTCCTATAAGGTCGTAACAAGAACTAAGAGAAAGAAAATAAAGGCTAAGGTTTTATATATAAGCTTAGTTAATAAAGATAGTACTAGAGGCTCTAGTATTAAGAAGAGCAGTAGACTTATATTTATATAAACTAGTAACTAAAGTATAGTTAATTATAAGGTATTTATTTTTATTAAAGTCTTACTAAGGTGACTAGGAGATTATAGAAAAGAAAATCTTAACTATTCTAGATATAGGTTCCTATAAGTAACTTTTAGTAGAAACTACTTATTTTCTAAATAAGTTAAGTCTCTAGATAGAGTAGTAGGGTTTAGAGTATTAGGAGTAGAGCTAAAGTTAATTACGTGTATAGTAGTATAAGACTTCTTTAGGTAGTTATAGACTATATAGTTACTACTATAGTATAGGCACTTATTATTGTTAAAGCGCTATTACTTTATCTTAAGTATAATTAGGTCCTACTAGACGCGACTAACTATAAAGTCTATAGGGTTACTATAGTTATAAGCTATAAGTATAGACTAGGGTGTAATTAGTATAGGATGAGAAGCTAGTAAGAAGGTAGTTATAGTAGTTATTATATAGAAAGTGCTAGTAGTAGGAAGTAGAGCTAGAAAGAAGTACTTTTAGAAGAATAACATGCTAGTAGCTATACTAGTAGTAGTATATAGGCGCCTATTAATACGCTAGTAGAGGTAGAAGTACTTAAGATAGCTTATTTTCTTAGTATTCTAGCTTACTAGAGCGCTTTAAATCTTATTTAATAGACTTATAAAGAGTATAGACTTCTTTTTATTATTATTATACCTAGTATTATGAATATAGTGTTAGAGATTAGTAGTAAAGATAATAAAGTTATAATTCTTTTAATAGATTTCTATAATTTTAGCTTAAGTAGTTACTTTAGGGTTTAAGTTATTAAAGAATAGCTTAAGGTGCTTAATTATTTCCTTAATTAATCTAAACTTAAGTATACTATCTATATAAATATACGGAAGAAAGAGCGCTTAAGTAGTACTCTTAAGGTAACTATATAAGTATAAGGTTTAAGCGGCTTTAGTAGGGTATTAGTTAGCATTAATATAGAGCTTTATATAGATATTTATAATAAAGGAGTGGAGGGTGGTATAATTAGAACTAAAGAATAGTTTTAGGTTAGAAAGCTTTTTTAACTTTTTAGTTAAATTAGCGTTTAATTAGGTGGCTTAGGCTATAAGTTAAGTAATACGCTTAGTCGCTTTAGTGTATATAATAACTATAGTATTATACTATCGTGTAAGATTCTTAAGTTACTTTTTAAAGGTGCCGCTATAAGTATATATCTTATTAAACTAGTTTAAAAGATTAATAAAGAACTAGTACTAGGTATTAAGATTCTTTAGAACTTTTATAGTAAGTATTATAGAAGAGTTAATAGCTATAGGAGCTTATAGCGCGTTAGAGGTATTATCTATAGATATAGGCGCTTTAGCGGAAGTAGGAGAATATATAATAGGCTATAGCTAAGCTATAATAAGAGATAATTAGTAGATATAATATAATATTATAATATAGAGAGGCTTAATACTAAAACTTAATTTATTAGAGTAATATATAAGATATTATATGCGGTTAGAAGGTATAGTAAGGAAAATAGGAAGATAATTCTATAAGTAGAGTATATAACCTAATTACGTGACTCTAGAATAACTAAAGATTCGAACACTAAGGAATACTAAGTCTAAACCGTAATACTTTTAATAATTCTAGTTACTTAAAGCTAGCTCTAAGCTATTAGATTTTACTACTAGATTCTTAAGGCTATCTCTAAAACCTTAGAGCTTTAAAGCTACTAAGCTACTTGAGCTACCTAAGCTATTTAAGCTACTTTTTAGAGTTCTATTCTTACTTAATTTTTCATCCCCTAGCTAGTAGAAACAAAATAACTACTATTTAAAAATTAAGTAGTTTTAACTTTTTTTTTCAAAAGTTTTATAAGTATATACTATAGCTAGTTCTATATACTATAGTATAAATAGCTAGATAGAGCTAGATAGATAAAACTAGAGAGATAGAGCTTTATATAGTAGCTTAGTAGCTTAGTAGCTTAGTAGCTTAGTAGCTTAGTAGCTTAGTAGCTTAGGTAGCTTAGATAGTTTAAGTAGCTCTAAGTATTCTAAGTATTCTAATAAACTTAATAAACTCGAGAAGCTTAAGAAGCTTAAGAAGCCTAAAAAGCCTAAAAAGCCTAAAAAGCTTAATTTAGCTAAGTATATAGACTTTCTTATAAGTAACTCTTAAGATAGATATAAGCTTAGTAGCTTTAAGATCTTAGAGATAGCTCTAAGATCTTAGAAGTAATAAATATTTTTATTAATATAGTATTAATAGTATAGTTAGTAGTTAAATTAATACAAATAGACGCGTTTAGATAATTAAAATAATAAGGTTTAATACCTACTAAGACTCGTGATATTTTTAGAAACCTTACTACAAGTAGCTAGTAGGGTGGCACGTGATAAGTGTAGAGTAATCTAGCGTCGAGCTAAATAGATTAATCTAGAGTCAGATCGAGTCTAATCGAACTTTCAATATCACTACGTCAGATTCGAAAAGAGACTATCGGAATCTTCTACCATAAGAACAGGTTCACATGCGATGTAACAAACAACGACCCCACCGCTCAACGTCTATAGCTGGCCAAAATCGGCGACGAGAAGAGGAGAATGCTAACTCTAGGCCCGGACGGCTTTGGATGGCTTTTCTCTTGGAGCAAAGATCCTAAGGAAACAAAACTCTGCTGGAAGAACCTCCCAATATGGCTCGAGTACCAATATCATGGAAAACTGATGGTGCCGGGAAAGAGCGACCCCACTTGGCCGCGCACATAGCCGATCAAGATCGTTCACGAGTTTTTCAATACAGCCTATCGTCTCCAACACGCCGACGTCCCCTGGGCGCTAGCTAAACAAGTGCTATGCTCAATGGCCGAGGTCGTAGAGTGCGCACCACATGGTTGGAAGGCCCTGGAGGATGAGTGATTGGTGAAGAGGACCTCTCGCCGCAGCTGCTTCCGACTTCTTCTCGTGCTACTACTTCAGTGTACGCTGCTGTCGTACGGAATCGATACCTTCACTCGGCATGCACATTTTGCATACTATAAACATGACACTCAGTCCATTTAGGAGGAGAGGTATCAGAATAGTCTTCCTGTATCTTCTTCTCTGGCTTAGGGTTAATAATGTTTCCGTAGTTTGGGAGCATCATTATATGCGTCGCTAGAGACTAGGTACGATTGAAGAGAAATCCGAGCATTCAGAACTCCACGCTCTCTGATTATTTCTATAACCCTTGTGATGTACATGATCCGTGGCCGCCAACATTCTTAAGCTACCAGCCACAGCCACAGCCGCGCGAGTACTTGGGTAGGTTCAAGGAGTAACTGGCCATCTTCTAAGCATGAGCGCTGCTACATTACAGCAAGGGGTAGATGGAGCACGAAGGTGCCGCCGGGCTGCTATTCTGGTCACCGGCACCCTTACCTAAGTACCTAGACAGCACCTCTCGATTAACAAAAGCAATTAATGCCAACCAGAACGACAGGATGGCTTGAACTCTCGCGAGGCCAGCCTTTATGCAGAGAGCCCGTCACCTTATATCCGAAGGAGGATGTAGCAGACTCGCCCGTAAAACAGCGCAGTGCGCGGACCAGCCTACTTGACGCTAGCGAAAAGGGCGCGATGGCTGACTCGAACATTCGTCGTCCGCCTCGCGAAGGACGGAGTTTCGTGGGGAAATCTGGCTTGACGGCATCGTGGGTGCTGGCGATCGCTTTTACCACTTCGTGATGAGAAGACCAAGGCGTTGGTGGTTGCCTGCGGCGGCCTCTGAGCTCAACCAGAAAGCACTTACCCACTGCTCCTCGCACATTGCGTCTGTTCAGACCAATTATGCATTCCAAGGTGGCCATGATGTTGCATCTTGCTCGTGGATCATGGCGATCAAGTCGGTCTACCAATAATGCACACAACTAGGCTCCAATGACAACCACCTGAGCCGTGAGGCTATTATCTGCATTTCACAGAAGCATTGACCTGTACGTACAGCGTAGGGCACGCCTGAACGCCTTCGCTGAACCTCACGAAGCCGCCTGCCATAGATGGCGTCCTTCTCGTCCGCGAGCGTGTCCGTTACAAGCGTTACACCTGACACCATGAACGCAGCCTACTGGGGATGCGATATTTGCCGCATCGCTCGCATATACATCTGCTCCGAGTCCGCATCTTCGGACTCGAGACTCGCTCTCGGCCGGGTTGTGCTTAGCTCTTTTGACGTCTCCGTGCTGGTGCTCACATCGAGAATCCCGTCCTCTTCGAGCTCATTTGGGCCTGCTGGCGTCCGTATCGGCGAAAATGTTGGCCCGAGGATGAAAGGCGGATCTTGCGTGGAGGGTGACTCTGGCGGAGAGGTGACCTTCTCTGATTGCGTGGCGCCCTGTTTGCTGTACCAGAATGACCTGTGATGCTTCTCCGGCTTGGGTTCGGCGTGTAGATCGCTTCGACTTCTCGACAGATCCGCAAACTCTGGTCCCTCAGCTGTGCTTTGTGATCCCATGCCACCACCCGGCCGCACAACCTCGACCAGCTGGTTGAGCACCGCGAACTCCAGCTTGAGCTTGACGCTATATACGACCCCCTTAAAGCTTTGTTGATACACCGTCACGTTCCTGTATTCCAGAGCCAGCAGTGCGATATCCATCAATATAATCAACACATTGATGCCAAAAAGTTGCTTCATAATATTGCGCGCATTCTGCGTGAGTGTGGTCCTTAGGATATCGACCGTCTTCCACACGTACAGCCCCGAAATCCCAAGCTCCTGCATGCAGAAAATCGTCATCTGTATCTTCTCAATAACCTTATACGCGTCCGCAAAGCCCCTCCCCGTATCCGTGAGATTACTAACATGCGACACAACCGTAGTCGTCGTATGCAAGATCACGGCGTCGAGGATGATGATCCACAGCACCACCCGCAGGATCCGCGGGCTATGTAGCACCAGGTGTAGCCGGCTGTATAGCACGAAGGACTGCCCGGACACCATAAGCATCCAGCCGATGTTGTCGATGAGGACGGCGGCGACTTCATTGGAGAGACCGAAGTAGACCATCAGCCGCCCGACGGAGTAGGGAATTAGCCCAAAGGTGGCGATCAGCATGCTCCAGTAGTAGAGGCCATGCTTGCGCTTGAAGATTAGGTAGATGAGGAGGAGGAGCTCGAGCGCGTTGTAGAGGCCGAGAGCGGTGCAGACCTGCGGTAGTTAGTCTCGGATGGTAAGAAGCAGGCTACGTGTAAGATATACAATCACAATGATGCTTTCCGCATTGAACTTGTCCAGCTCGTCGACGGCGGTGTTCACGCCCGGCTCACCAGCCATTGTGGGGCGATCGCGGTGAAGCGCAGAGACTAGAGAGTCGAGTTACTAACTCGCTGGCAGACGCTCGTATGATGGGGTCATTGTAGACAACAGCGCAGTCATAGTAATACGATGAGTGAAGTGAGAAGTCGGCATTTTTGGCCATGCGATAGCTTTGAGCCGTTGAGGCGCATGGGTGAGCATCCCGCAAACCTGGAGCGCGGGATGAAATCCGGGGAAATCTCTAGAACTGCGGGGAGTGAGCTGCTTGCTGTCGATTGGTGGATATGGCGATCGGCTAGGCTCAGCGACGGGACGGACGAAGCGAATTTCTCCTTTAAGCAGTGAGCGTCATTACTGCAAATGATATTTAAGGCGCCGAAGTGTGGGTTCCTGGACACTTGCAGTCTGGCGAAGATACAGTATGTAGGTTGGAGGTATACTCTCGGTTTTGCAATGTACCTACATTCAAAGCTCGGATCAGCAACACCATTGTTCACATTTCAATCCACATGTCCGTGGAATCAAATATTGACATCACCACTCGAATCTATTGCAACGTGGCTGAAACTCACGCGCTGTCATGGTTGTATAGCTCTGAGAACATCGATGTGGCACATCAGCCTACCATCTGGCCAGATCCGGAGCTCCCTTCTTCAGTCCTTTATAATACCGACTGCCTCGGAAACCGAATCCCCCTATCGTTGCTCCGTACCGGAAGTCGGAGAAGTCTTCAGATGGCCAGACTACTCTACTCCCATAAGTCCGCTTCCACCGTGTCGACGATAAATGCAGCTGCACGTCGCCAGCGGTATATATTACTCTACGGGACACGCATGCTGCAACCCGCAGGTGGCTTGGTTGCTTTTCGGCATGGTGAGTGCACGTGTGAGATGAGGCTGCGGCACCACGACGTACGAGGCGGCCTCAGCCTCATAAAGCTGGATCAGAGAACACCTTGCCCGTCGCTGTTGAGCCAGCTAAAGCAATCGACTTGCGCTTAATCGCGAACGGCAGTCAGCTTCTTCCTTTAGTATTGTCGACGAACCGTGAAGGTTGACATTCACGACCGCAGCCATCCAAGATCCTCAGTATGGGTATAGCAGACTTTGTTTGGTTTAGTATAATATGGAAAGAAGGCGAAGCTTGTAGTGACACTTCAGATCCAGACGTCGCTGGTATAGGGATAAGTCATATCACCTCATCCGTCCGGACGGCTTGGCGAAGATAGCTCCTAAAGATCACATATGCAATTCAGGTAGTCCTTTCATTCGTGATCGCAGCGTTCGTCACCACATTTGCATCTATCATAGCAGCTATCCTAGATATCCAAACCAGGGACGAGAAGGGACTTCTACCTCAAAGCTTCCGGACGCGATCGTCTCGTTACATGAGCCATAATACGATGAATACTCACAAATTCTGGCGAGCCGTACTCAACAGATTAATCCTAGCTCTTGCGGACCAACAGCTTATCGTGGGAGTTGCCATTCTCATCAGTGTGTATATCAGCAAACCTGGTCATTTCCTTCAGAGAGGAAATATTTCAGGGCCGGTCTGGGCGTCTACGGAATACACTGCTCTGGTTATATACCTTAGCTACCTATCAAGCAGCTCGCACCTTGCTTGCGTCATTACGCCAAGGAAATCCTTCTACCGTCACCAGGCTGTAGCTCGAGTTCGCATTGGCCTAATAATGGTTTTCGCTGTACTTCTAATAGTTTCAATCGGTCTCAGTCACTCCGCGTTCTTCTTCATATACAGGGCTTTAAGGAGACTTTTGAATCCGAAGGGCGGAGTCTCAGATCGTTTTGTGCTAGCATTGACGTATGTGTTGCCTATTTCATCGGTGATCTATCTGTACTAGGTTTCAATACTCCAATCTGCTACGGCTCTAAGGGCGAAGATAAAGGAGTTCATACGTCTCCGAGTCTAGCCCCCAATCAAAGACAAGCTCAGGCTTAGGCGAGTTATGTATGTGTGTCAAAAGACTTTCGGGGATGCTATATGTCAAAACATTGCGAGAATCAGAAAATCATTGTTTTAGTTTTGTTTATTTTCTCATCCATTTGTAGTCTTCCTTTCGCAGGTGGTTATGGCTCTCATATTCTTCGTGTTAGTGCTTCTTCGAAAGTTTGCGATGCCGCCGAAGACGATTATCCCGGGTGATAAAGGACCTAACGGCGAGGCAGTTCTAGACTACTGTGGACTAAATAATTCCGGGGATAATAGATAGAACTTTGGACAAAGCCGTTCCGTGCTTCTTTTACTTCTCCCCGTTTGGTCCGCTTTCGAAACTTATATAGGTACGGATTCCTTCCCTCAAGGTCTAACCACAGGCTCACGCATTTGCAGAGGAGAAGCACAAATCCCAGCATAGCCGAGAACATAACGACCATGAACTTGAGATATGGAGAAGAAGCGGTTCTCAAAGACAAATTAATCCGAACGACACCCGCTCGTCATTAGGAGATAGTCCTATAGCCACACCTGCACCCCAAGAGCGCCCAGCCGACGATACGTCAGATGGAGCTATTCAGGAAGACCATGGGAATTTGACTATCCACCTCCAAGGAGAATGGACACGGAGTCAAGGGTTAAAACCACCTCAACAAGCCGTGAGAAGCCAGTAGCAATGACAACGGCAGTTTAGGGCGGGGACGAACATGTCCAGCCTCCCTCCCGACGAGGTACCAGCAGCTTGCGTACGTAGCCTGTAAGCAGGGAACCGTTTAGGCAGGAAATTGACGATCTTGAACCTGACTGAGTTTTGTGGGTTTGGCGCTATGCGTGCTGTGTCATGATCTCATTTCGCTAAGCAATTGACCGTTATTCGATTTGGTTTTTGATTAGATGGCCGTACGTAGCCACGTTAGCGGAGGGAGGTCGAAGCTTGGTAGTTTTGGAGAACGCCGGAAGATCGGTCGGCCCGAGGACCAATCATCGTTGTTAAAAGATGCGCTCCCGACGCTTTGACTAAAATCTTCCCCACTAAACTCTATAGCGCCCTTATACTAAAAACTAGAGAACACTTTAACTATAGTACTAGTAAATAACACGCGTTTTTATAACTCTAGGTATTTACTCTAAACTATTAATTATATAGAACTTATAGTGTTTTGGTAGTTCCTTATGCTACTATCTATAGTACTATATTTAAGATCCTATTGCAGCGCGCCGACTATATTAAATATACCATCTCTTATATTAACTACAAGCTCTGCGTATTTAAGTGCCACTAGTACTTAAATTATTATAAGCTTCTCTGTTAATTAATGAGAGTCAGGACTGTATACCGGATATTAATAGTACTAGAGAATTGGATTGCTGGCGCTTCAAGAGTCTGATAAAGGATTCTAGTACACTAATTCGTGCTACTAGATCTAGTGCCTAGTTGAAGTGGAGGATTAGTTTCTAGAATATAAATAACCATCACAACAATGATATCTATTAGGCTGGATATAGTATTAATATGGCTTGCTATAGCCTCACGTCGGGCGCTATTTGAGAGAGTAACAGACACAAGCCGCCAATCAAGCGGGCACTATAATTCGTACTGCTGAAGCTATCTATATCGAGCTAACTAGTTCTAACGTTCTGCGGGCGCCGAGCTTCAGCCGGTTCTGAGGCTGCCACCTGAATGAGTGCCACCAGTTCATGATCACGGGCTTACAGACTGCTTGCACCCGGAGACGCCAGGCTGAAGGAGAGGATGCTACAACCACCTGCAGCCCAGCAGTGAGCCAGGAGCATAGCATGTCCCGCAATAAAGGCGAAGGCGCGCCTCTAGGAAGGCTACGTCGTCGTCCGCCAGGCCTCTTTGTTTACAGGTTATTCAACGTTTGCCCGCGGTGCAGATCCCCTTTGAAGTTCAATATTTACCAAAATGTTCTACCAGCAGCTTGAATCATCCTAGCAGGCGTTGCTGCCTCACAGGCTTCTTTCACCCGCTTGCAATGGAGCTTTTCTTGCGACGTCCCTCCTCCTGTTAATAAACACGCCCCTTCTCCTCTTCTGCCAATGATTATCCACACACATCCGCGATGCTCCTCCTAAACATGCTTTGGTATCTACCGGAAGTGCTTCGGTGGCTACCGTTCGGCATCTTTGTATTCTTCCTCAGCATTGCCGTACTCCTCCTCACCAAGTGTTACGCGTTCGTCGCCGGAGTATTGACTTTTGCCGGAAAGGGGGTTATTCTTCTCTACAAGATTGGTGTAATGGTCTACTATGTGCTACAATGGCTCTATACTATCATCGGGCCCCTAGTGTGTCGCGTCATTGCCGCCTCCCCGGGCATAACCCGTTCGGCGATCGCATTCGTACAGCCCTGCTTCCGGAGGGCCTGGCATTGGGGTTATCAGTTCCTGGACCTGCCGAACATTACCATGGTCTGGACGTTGGACGCTATCAAGACCTGGCTGTTCCCAGTACCTAGTCTCACGGGCAACGGCGGTAGTGACAGCAAGTATTGCGCTGCCATCACGGCCAAAGGTAACCGCTGTCGGCGTCCCGGGCTGGCGAGCGAAGCGGGCAATCTTTGGTACTGCTACCAGCATAAACAACAGGGCGTGTACGCCGCTGCTGCGGGAAAGTTGAAAGTCTGCTGATGCTACAGCTAGGTAAGGCAAGCGTTCTTGGAAGCACTCCATTCGCTAATGATGCATACAGCGCCTATAAGGTCACCATCCGTGCAGGGCACGCCGCGTTTAATCTTCTTTTCGATAACAGTTACGCTTGAGACGCTGCGAGGGGAGGATGTTGTGTATTTCTCGGAGTTCACTTTCCCGGTTTTCTCAGGTGTACTTTGAGGCGTTTCATTTGGCTTATTGTGACGAGATGGGAAATGTTGCTTGCCTGATAGTTATGCCACACACATCCCAGAGACAAGACGCGCCTTCCTGCGGCGAACAGATGACTAGTGTGATAATGTATTCTGCATTCCGTGGGCGATCGCACTTGCCAGCCGCTGTCCTAGTGCTTCTAATGTATCCGCTTTCAACTGTGGGATCGACATACATCGCCCTGCATCGTCGTTGCTGGTCTTGTCGCTGTTATTGAAGAAGAAGAAGAAGAGAAACGATAGGCATGGAGAGAGAGACTGGACGACCCGTGATTCCGCTATGTAGACAGGCTTGCCTGCGGAAAACGGATACTGCCCGATGTGGAAATGCACGCTCAATCGTGGGACAGCTAAGAAAATGCTGTGCAGCTACGGGTAAGCATTAATATCTTCAACAATGTGGACGAGATAGCAAGTCTTAACATTCGCGGCGACTGGTTATTATTAGTAGAGTAGAATGTTACACTACCCTCTTCCCTTCACTCATCCAAACAATGCTTAGCAGCTGACGGACTTTCGCGAGTGGATGTTCTTGTACAGTAACATGACTAGCAGCAAGTGTACGGGCAGATTACTAGTTATACCACTCTTGGTTTCCCCGTCCCCACCTTAGCGCCCTCGGTCATCCACGCGGGCAGCTACCTCTAAAAGCCCACACCATGCTTCTTGCGAGCCCGGCCCCGTACCATAGCTCCTACATGTGCCGCCGCCACGATGAGCAACCGCCTTAGCACACATCAAGCTCTAAGGTGAGGATACTAACGCCTCCGGAACCCCCTTCCGTGGATCCGGCAATAGCCATGACGACGCAGCACGCCCCAACACCGCCTTGGACGCAGATCAGCAGACGCCAGCGGATCTAGGATTGCTGGGCGAAGTACGGGCTTGGTGATAGCTTGGCCGGCAGGCAGGTAGACGGATGGTGGATTCCGAGTCGTCGGACGAAGTCCCACCCGGGTGGGAGTTCAGCTGGTAGGCAGCTCGGGAGATGGCCCTTGATACGACAAGTTGCCAGGTGAAGTCCGACCCGAGGGGCACTTCGTGGCAGCACCTAGGTAGCTGGGTGAAGTTCCGCCGTGGTAGTTCAGTTAGAAGGCAGATCATGATGCTGAGTTGCTGGGTCACTGGACGAAGTGCCACCTGTGTGGCAGCTCAGGTTGCGCGCGCGAGTAGACGGTAACTGTAGTACGGCTACTAAGGAAATCTTTGTCGCTAGTTGCGATAATCTGTTTACTACTTCTTAGGAGGTTGCTGAGGCTTCTGCTTGCTCGTTTTTCGGGTCTCCGGGTTACGTATCTACTGTAAGTATTAGTACTATCATTAGAAATAGACTTTCGGGAGAGTAGTGTAACATGGGGCGCAGCACTCTCTTTGTACTTACATCCTTTGCGTTATCCAGAGTTATCATGGTTGAAACCGCATCCTTTTGAAAAGGACTCACGTGCGGAAGGAGCAAGACTCTTGCCTTAGAAGAGAGACAGTCTTGTAGAAGCAGCACTAACTGGAGGAATATCAGCGGAAGCTATATATAGACGGGTCGAAATCTCATTTACATTACAGTCTTTTCCGCTTGTGCATTCGCGGGGAATAGGCTTTCCATAGTTCCTGAGAGCTTTGAGAAAGTTCACTCGGGTGCCGTTGATGGCCGTGAGTTCTGTATAGTGCGCCGTGTCTCGAGCAACTTGTAGGTGGCCTGGAGCATCGTTTTTCATGTTTTCGTTGCCTGCAAGGTCAACGAGGAATAGCTTTGACTCGAATACCCCATCGCGGGCATTAGGAGGAGACACAGTAAGGATGAGGGTGCAAATGAGGTGGCCTCGTGAGGATGCCGCATTCTTGTCCGTTGCCCTTGTTTTACGGATACTCAAGGCCTCTCGAAGTAATTCGGAAAATGCCGCTGGCGACTGGATAGATGTTATGGTGTGTCCAGATACTACCTTCTCGTCCTCGTGATTTCGCTGGAGGCCCACTCCACTCTTAGGGCCTCCGTCACCCAGTAGATCCCGTATCTCCTCCAGGTAGGACTCAAGAACAGAGCACCGAAGCTTGTACTGCCACCCGTTGGCTCTTTGCTCGCCAAACACGGAGAAGATTAACTCGACAGCGGAAGGAGCAAGGGCGTCACGGCTGTTAAACATAGTCCAAGACTTGCCGGCGCCCGTTTGACCGTCTGCGATAATGGCAAAATACATATGGGGTTTCCGTAGCGCGGCTCGTACTAATGGCTCGACCTTTGCAAACACGTCCCCGTTGGTGGAGAAGCTAGGGAATACGTGATCGAACTCGAAGTCCGTATAGACAGTGCCGCGGCCGGCCGCCGTGCAACGGTTGAGTCTTAGCGTATTGCACTGGCCGGCGGGAATCTCTATTTGAACAGGGTCCTGTCCATGGTCTGCTTGTGCAGTGCCACGGACACGCGGCATGACGCACACCTGGGGCCGTGCCATGAAAAGCTCTTGTAGGCAGCGGTCTTCGACCTTGTCGCGGTCTTTGAGCTTGTTTTTGAGATCCTCTAGCTCTTTCTTTAGGTGGCCGTTGTCCTCAGCTGTCCTGCTGCAGGTTTCCTCAAGATCTTTGAGCTTGGCTTTGAGCTCGGTTTGGAGCTTGGCGGCGTCTTCGAGCTTGGCGGCGTCTTCGGAATTACGCGTGAGATTGTGGCGCTGGTTGGATTCGTCGGCTAGTAAATTCCGGTTTTTCTGGGCCACTTTACTGGCCTCTCGGGGAGGTGCGTCCTTGGGTGCTGCGGAGCTATGGGCCGTGCTAATGCGGCTAAGCGACGGCTTTTTCAGCCGCCGGGCCGTCTGTTCTAACTCGCGCGTGCATGCTTCTCGAGTCTCCATGCCACGATCCGGCATCTTCTGGACGTCTACCGCGGCGGTTTGGCCATACTCTTGTGCTTGTGCTATTAAGCATGGTGCTTTCTGCAGGCCTCTAATACTTCTACGGCGGACTCGACTCTCCCTCGGCAGAAGAGTGCCGTTTGATAAAGGAGTATACCATGGCCGGATCGGGTTCTCAATCGCTGTGAACGAGGTGACGGAGGTAATAGGGCTGATGTGGTGGAAGAACAGAATTAGAATACGAAGGTTCCGTACGCAGGCGTTGAGGATCGCTTCAAGCGGGTTTCTCTGGGGGTATTTGAAGCTTAGCATAGTCAGCGTTTTGCTTGTAGTAGAACAACCAGTATAAGTAGGAGGAATCCACAAAACACAACCTAGACATATTGAATGCGATAATAGTAGAGGAAGCTTAGTAGCTGGATAGGCTAACGCGCTGCGCCTACCTAGTAAGAAACCAGCCCCTCTGGTTGTAGGCAGCCGAGAGCAACAACAACAGGCAGAATACTACCAGGTAGAGCCGGCATTGCCATACGTTCCACGCCAACAAGGTCTCGGTCTCCTCCCCATACCACCCCAGATAAAGAGCTTTCCCGACGGATACCAGCAGCGCGACGGCGGCCCAACATCCGGCTATTATTGATAAAAGAAAAGCCCACATCTTCACGAGCTCTTGACGTCCTGCGTCTTGCGGTAGGTATTCGAGTCTGAGGGGCGATGTGTTCGAGTCTGAGGGCAATGGGGTCAAAAGGAGTCACAGCTACGGTCAAGGACAGAGCGAAAAGAGGCGGCCCTTCGAGAGCAGCGGGAGCTGAACTAGGAGATTTTGGAGTCCAAGCAACCGGCGTACCATGGACGCACCGCTCCGAACGAGAGCGATGTCTCGAGTCTAAGGGGTGATATAATACGTAAGTCCGCTAGCAGCTACGGTGGAGGGGTAAGATTCGAGACACCCAAACGTACCTTAGCTGAAGAGGGAAGCTAGGGTAGCTTCTTAACAGCGGGCTTAGCGGCTCTGTTTCCTGAGCAAGTCGGGCCACACTCTTGCGTGGTAGGTCTTCAGGCTTGAAGCTGGGTAGGTGCGAGACGAGCTGGCGCTGATGGGATTGCAGGAAGTTGTGTAGGAGTTCGCCTTGTGATCGCGGGTTTCTAGGGAAGGAGAGGCGCAGTGAACAGTAACATTAAGTAAAGGGACTCGCAAAGGCGGTAGTAGAATGTTTTCCTATGAAGGGCCCCAGGGAAAGTGGTCCAGAGTAAGCTAGACCCATTCCCTAATAAATAATAAGACAGTTCTGCATCAAACGAAGTCTCGTAGCTTGATCCAGGTGTGCAGCTTTGTGGGCCGCGAGCGACGTGCTCCAGAACAGAAGAGCACGGATCTCCATGCTGCAGAGGCGGCTCCGAGGATGTGAAAGAAAGAAAGGGGAGGGATTTCTGCCTAGAGACAAGACATTCGAGATGGGCTGAATAGTGTCCCGAGTGTCAAGACTCAAGTGCGACTGACTTGAGGGATAAAGGTGAACCGTGAGGCGATGAAGATCTCAGATCCATTGCAACAATTGCGACAGATGGAAGCTATAGATATTGCCGTCCCTTCGAAGAACGAGTAACTTACGGGCCACGGACAGTCTAGGGAACGGCGTGAGCACCTACCACCCCCCGCCGCCTGCGAGGAGCGCAGCCGACGCAGCGGCGGCATCCTTCCTTTCGCGAAGCGACAGCATCCTTTCGCCGCAGGCGACCTAACCACCCTACTCTTTTATAAGAGGACTCCCGCTACCGCCTACGAGGAGTGTAGCGATACAACAGCGGCATTCTTCCTTTCGCGAAGTAATAGCATCCTATTACCGTAGGCGACCCAACCACTAATCTTCTATTAGGGGGGGTGCCTCTCTCTAAATCCCCCTAGCCTCACTATGCTTAAAAAGTACTTTTGGTTACCGGGCCGATAAAGATGTATAATATAGATAGTCTTACCGGTCCGGCGGCTATATCTAGTAAAGTATAGGTATAGATAGGGCAGATAGAGACTATTTAAAGTATTTATAACTCTATCTTAAATAAGTTATTAAGAGAGAGAAAAGGACCTTTCTGATTATTATCGCTCGCCTATTAGTAGGCAAGTCTACTATATAGCCACCTACAGTATAAAAGCAAATGCCTAAATCATCTACAGCCGCTCCACGCACTTAGAGCCCTATTCTATACCCTTAACCTTCGCGAAGAGATAGCGCCGCTATACTTTATATATTATTTACCTCTAAGACCCGAGCCGTGTTAAGAGTAGAGAGCGGTAGCTAGAGGACCGGCTACTCTAATTACACTCTCTAGCTAATAGTATACTAGTACATATAGGCGAGGTGAAAGAAGGCCGGTAATAGGTCGCCCTAGTAGAAGGGTTTAATATTACTAAATATACTAGGCGGGAAAGCGTCGCTACTACTTTAGTATATAAGTAGGCCGGCCTCTCTAATTTCGCAAAACCCTAAGAGCCTACTCTCGCTAATTAACCTACTAATTCCCGTAGTATTCGCGGTAGTATTAGTAAGTAGGTTAAAGGCGAGCTAAAGAGAGAGAGCATGCGGGTCGAAGCGCGTAATAATAATATAGAGAAATTATCTAACTAGCTCCTCTATACGCGTTAAAGTTAGAGGTATACGGTAGACATCGAGGTTGCGGTAGCTATAAGGCCTTATAGTGTCAGCAGCGTTAGTAGTATTAGTGGTATTAATAACTACCCACCTCTAGCGGGCCGATCCTCTTATTTAGTATAGCTCTCTTAAAAAGTACTCTCTATTCTAAGTCACGCTCGTGGAGGTACTACTATAGAGGATAAGGAACTAAAGTACAACATCCTATAGGTTAAGTAGTAGAACGGGTATAGTAATAAGTACGCGTATAAAGGCTAGATCCGAGAAGTATATAAGTATACCCTTAATATTATAGAATCCTTTAAGCTTAGCTTAGTTCTACTACTTAAACGCTAATAGTACGTTCTTTAATGTTAAACCGCCACCTTCTATCTAGAGTAAGAGGCTTTATATATTAAATCTAGCTAAGACGTTTTTAATCGACTACTATAGATAATTCTTATAGACTTATAGCGCGTCGCCGCTCTAGATAAGATTCGTTATAGTTATAGCGCTAAAGCTACTTACGGACTAGAGTAAATAGATAGAGTAGATAGATATATAGCTTTAGCGACGCGCTTAGCTAGATAAGAGAGCTTAATCGCTCGAGGCGGCGTTAATTGCGGTATTTAGAGGTTGAGTGAGGGAGGTTATTAGATGCATCGAGTGAGGAAGTTTATTATTGTAAAAGTAAGGGAGGTAAGAGAGATGAAGTGGATTAAGGTGAAGTAGAAGGAGGTGAAGTAGGTAGAAAGAATAATAAATCCCTTTATAGTCTCTTAAAGTTTCTTTCTCTACGTAACTATCGTATAATAGATCCGCCTTTACATTTTATATAAGACCCCCGCCTTTATATAAAGCTTTCTTCTCCGCGCAACTATCACGCAATAGGTTTCCCTTCGTATTTTATATAAGACTTCCGCCTTTATATAAAGCTTCTCTCTTTACTTATCATTTAACCCTTTACTTTTAACTTAACATTCTTTTATTATATAATAACCCCTAGTTCATCCTCCTACACCACCTCTACTACTCTACGCCTATATCCTTTATTAATAGCACAGCGATAATAGTAATAACTTCCTATTTGAGCGTAGTAAGGCCGGGGGGGTTTAGAGGGGTTTCTCTCCTAAATAGAAGAAACAGGTGAGTCGAGCGCAGCGAGGCTTAGGGGCTTTTTAAGTAAAGAACTTTATAGGCTAGATATAACGACTTAAGCGCGAAATAATAAAGACGCAGCTATTATTAGTAGAGCGCTCGCAATAAAGCGAGATAGTAAGGGTACTACTACTACTACTTAACTATATAAAACAGCCTCTAGATAGACCGTCTTTAGTAAAAGCGGTCTATCTACTATTTCCTCTATATTTCTTTAGCTCTTATTCTCTTCTCTATAAACTATACTTAATACTATTCTATCTTATTAAACCTCACTTTACTCAGTCTTATCTCGCTAGATCTTATCTTACCGGATTTAGGTGTTAATATATAGTAATAGGTAGTAAAGGGCTCCCGAAACTCTCCTAAAGTATTAACACTAATATTTATACTATAACCCCTTTACTTCCACTTTACGCTATTTCGCTTCACTTTATTCCACTTTACTACCCTTATTATTCTCTAAATATAGCTGCCTAAAACTTTCTTCCCTCTCTATTTAAGCTAATTCTATATCCTTTAACCTCCCTTACCTCTTTATTCTAGTTATTCTCTCCTCTCTTTAGCTCTACTACTTTTTTTCTTCGTCTCTATCTTAGCCTTATGCTTACGCGGTATTGCTATAATTACACGACTAGTATCTCCCTCTTTAGCTCCACTAATTCACTTAAATAGTTAACGCAATTAAGACCCGCTCTTTACTTACATGTATACGCTCTATCTATATTTCACACTACTATAAACTACTTACATTATCTTTATATATTACTACATTAATATCACTTTATTATAATCGGTTATTGCACCTATAATAGCTCTATATAAAGTCCTTTATAACTATATTACAAATATTATAAAGCGCGAAAGCGCGAAGGCGTTACGGCCCTCTAAAGCTAGTAGTCTTAATAGCGTCGCAACTAAAGAAAGTACGTATCTAATTATCTAATCTTAAAAAGTGCTTTTTATCTAATACATTTAAGAGAAAGAGGATAATAGGCGTGGTCACCTACTATAAGAAAACTATAGCAATTAAGCGGCTAAGGTAGCTATTAAATATAAAAAGCTTTCTAGACTATTTAGAGTACGAGGCGAAGAACGCAGCTTATAATAGTTTACTAACGTGGCTCTATTTAAGTAGTATATAGTTTACTTCCAAGTTGTTAATATCTAGCTCTAGTATAGGAAGATAGGCCCCTATATTAACTATTCAAATGCCCTTATCCTTATAAGAGACGTTTCAAGCCGGTTTAATAACCTTAATTTTAAATAGGCGGCGGCGCAATAGCCGATCCAGATAGTAAAACTATTAAAGAACGAGAAGCAGGTGAATAATTCTTATAAGAGCTATAGAACTTACGCACTTACTTCTATATACTCTTAAGTCCCTATATAGAGGCAAGAATCTTAATATAAAGGAGATCTAATAGAGATAGCTCGCTTTAGTAAAGAATTTTACTAATACGAGCACGAAAGAGATATAATAAAAACAGCCTACCCTAAGTATAAGCTCTATAAGCACAACTACACTAGGCCTTAAGCTACTAGAATTTAATTTCGCTACGCTCCTATAGCCTATACTTAGTCCGCGCGCTAGTAAAGACAAGCTTAAGGCTATAAACTAGACATATATAATAATTAGGTATTTAAATTACCTAGTAAGCAATCTAAACTTATTCTACATACGTCTTAATAAGGAGAAGCTACACGAGAGCACCCTTATCTAGATAGTCCACCTACTAGACTTTATACGGCCGCCTCCGAAATCCATTTAAGTACCGCTATAGTCCTAGGCTATAGCGCGCGCCGAGAGTTTACCTAAAGCTAAGTAGTTTATTATCTAAAAATATATAAAGAAGTTTAATAGTCTTAAAGAGTTAAATAAGTATCTAGAAGAATTAGGTGTCATACTACTAAGTACTTACTAGCGCTTCGCCGCCGATCCTAGGCTATATAATAATAGAACTATAGTAAGAAACATAATATAAAGGTAATTTAACTATTAGTAGCTAAGGATAACTATCCGGTCCTAGTAGCTAACCTATAAAGATGCTCTAGATTTAAGTTAACTGATAAATTTAGATAATATTATATAACTAGACGTCTAAAGAACTTTTCTTAACACTACACTATTAAAGCTAATAGTATATATTATCTTTAAGATCCTAAAGGAAGGCGAGGATCTATAGGAGTCTAAAAACCTACCCCTTACTCTATAGAAGCTCCTCACTATTTAAGATAATAACATCTACCTTACTAGCCCCCTTAAAGGCGCACTCGGAATCGACAATAATACTACTAATTAGTTAGAAGAGGAGAATTAAGAGTAGGAGAAGGAGAAGGAGAAGGAGAAAAAAAAGAAGGAGGAGAAGAAGAGGCTTTAAAAAGAGGGGGCATTATCTACCTATTTAGAGCTAACGCTTAGCGCAAATAGGTGTAGCACTAAAGAATACGCTAAACTGAATCTCTTAGCTAAGTTTCTATAACTAGAAGACTAAGCGGCGCTCTTAATATTCTATAAGAGGCACGACGTAACTACTCTTAAAGGCCTTTAAGCCTTTTATAATAAAGTTCTTTTTATAATTAGCGGCAACTACATAATGTCGCTTAAGCTAAAAAAGCCCCCTAAAACCGCACTTAAACTTATAGTAGAGTAGTAGTAAGTAATAAATAAGGCTAGAGAGATTAGTAAGCATATAGCCGATATTTATCTAAAAGTAAAGTGCTCTAATCCGGTTCTCTACCGCTTCTAGATATAAAGTTCTTTATAACTAATAGCTTACTTAGGACGAAGAAATTATAGACGATAGTTAGGCTGACACTAACCACTATTATTATATAATACAAGACGCTATAACTAGCACGCCGGTAATAGTTAGGCCAATAGTAGACCTCTACTTCATTCTCTTTAGTATAAAGCCGACTAATATACCTAGTATATACTACTCTACACTTCTTAATTAATATACCAACCACGACTTCTAGTTTTAGTAAGTAATTGCGGCATGCAGGCTAGCTATTAAGGCTTTTAGTGAAGTACTAGTTAATAGCCTATTACCGCCCGAGCATCTTATATAAGAGGAAGTGATAGTAGCTAGGGCCGCGCTAAGAGGTTTAAGATTATATAGTAGAATCCTATTAGATACCACTAGATTCGGTAAGACTATTAGCCTATTTCTTTTTATATTAATATAGTCGGTTGTATATAAAGACCTAAACGAGTAAAGCTAGCGTATATACTAGCTAATATTACTCACTATACCTCCGGGCTTAGTAATATAAACACTTAAGGAAATTAAGCGCTTATAAGCTAAGCACTTTAAGGTTGTTATCTCCTATAGTAATATAAGCTTAGGCGCGGAGTATACGCTCTAGTAGATTAACTCTACTACGCTTAAGAAGTACCCTAAACTCGATAAATATCCTTTAAGTATAAAGTACATCTTTAACTATAGTGATCCGCATGCTAGTAAGATAATCTTTTTTATAAACTATAACTTACTAGAGGAGCGAGTGCTATATAAGAAAACTATCTACTATTCGCTAGTCTCTTACACGCCGCTAAAGATTATAAAGGGTAAGGAGAAATATAAAAAGGAGGCCTAGAGTAAGAAGCTATAGAAGACGCACTTTAGAGGTGTTTTCGGCCTATTAGTTACAGACGAGTTATAGAAGATCTAAAATAAGTTAATAAGAAACTAGGCTGCTTTAAAGCTAATCCAAGCACCCTATATAATATTATTAATAGTAATAATTATGCAAAATAGGAAGGAGGTATATATAACTAAATCTCTATTCTATACTACTACTACTTCTTATCTATCCGTCTTCTATAAAGTTCTTTACTTAAAATACTTTAGCCTTTACTAATCACCTTTCGCAGAATATTATAGCCCCTATAAAGCTCCTCTAGGATCCTATTTATAAGGCACTTAATATAGCGATTAATAATAATACAGCTATTAAAAGTTAGTTTAAAAAAGCTGCTTCTAATTAGGCGGACATCTATAAGCTTATTAACTCACTCTCTCTTAATAATGTTAGGAGGTTAGTGGCTATAGATCTAGGCCGTATATATAGCCTACTCGCGAAGAAGAAAGTTACTATAGTAAGGAAATTGTACCACGTATTTAGTAAGTTAGCTATAATTAATAGAGTGCCTACTTCTAACCTCTCTAACTCTAATAGGTTATAGATTTAATTAAGGCAGTTTTTTAAGAGAGTAATTTATAAGATAGTTACTTTACCGCGCCGCCCGCTTAAAGAGCTTAAGTACTAATTTATCCACTACGTTAAGGTGAAGTATAATTTTATAAGTAAACCCTAAGGCTTTATACAAGGAACTTTAGACTAATAGGCGTGTAACGCAAATAGAGCCTACGTTAATAAATATCGCGAAATAGTATAAAAATAGGCTAATACCACTAGCGCTCCCTTAGGCGGCGCGCCTATACCTAAAAAGGCGGAACCTATCCGGTACCTAGTCGTCCTTTTACGTAATCTTACCCTTATAAACCTCTTGCTAATTCTATAGCATCTTAATAATAACGTTACACTAGCTAAAAACAACACGTATATTAAGTAGATTAAAGAATAGTAGAAGCTAAATAAGGAAGCGGAGTTTATTATTATATATACTTAAGAGCCGGCTAATTCTACTATAGGTATAGTAAAAGAGTAACTAGAATTTCTAACTTAGGGCTCGGCGATACTATACTTTCTACTATAATTCATCTATAATTAGGGGCTGACTAAGCCGTTAGACCTAGTAAAATATAAGGGGTATTAAAAGTTAATTATAGGCGAGGTATTGCCTATAAACGCGTGGTATATCGCCGAAATTATTTATAGGGTTACGCTTATTAACACGACTATTCTACACTCTAGCCTCACGCAAAAGTAGCGGTATAAATTATATAAAGAGTTTAATAATCCTTATAGTAGTCTTAAGGTCTTAGTGTTAATAGTAGACGTATTAGCGGTAGGGCTAAAGTGTCTATGTCTATGGATAGCTGGCCGATATGGTCCAGAACCACCTCCACCCGCGCGGGCACGTAGCTGTGCACCTGTCTGATGCTCTAGAACAGGACCAGGAGGATCGACGTCTTCTGCAGGCACCAGGACCCGGTCTTGTCCGAGTACGGGATTGTAGAGGCGGAGGAGGTTGGGTAGCTCTCCAGGCACGTGATTAGAGTTCGCTACAAGGACGGGTCGAGCTCGATCAAAACTATGGAGCCGTACGCCCACCACTCGTTGGGAAGGCACTTAATCTGCACTGTGTGCGGCTACACGAACCCGATGTGCCCCTATGTGAGTGTAGGTTCAGGACGCGCATCACGAGGTGCAATAGGACCGGCAACGCGCTCAGGTGTTTGACGAAGCTCTCGGAGATGTACACATTCATGCTGCGCAGCGGGTGCAGGACCGTGTACTCGAACGGGCATAGGCAGATGTCTAGTATGTAAGGTCTTCTCGATGTTCGTGGATAGCAGCGTGCTAATAACCTTGCACCAGGTCGAAATCCTGTTCGCCGCCGGGACTACATCCATGGATCGCACCGAGACCAGGCACGCGAGGCGGATCGCGACAAGTCCAGCACCATGCAGCTAACGGGGAGAGGCCCATGAACGCGATCGAGGATAACGACAGCTCTAGGATGTGCTCGAGGTACACGGTCACGAACGCGTGCGGGCACTAGGAGACGATCTCGTACAAGTACTGCGGCAGACACCCGGACACGCTCTTGGACAATAGGGAGTGCTTCACCACGACCCCGACCACAGAGAGGAACAGGCCCACGCGCGTGTGCATGGGCACGGGGCTCTGCAATAGGGGGTGCAAGGCCCTCACCATCGGCTGGATGTGCTGCACGTGTGGGTCCAAGGAGGTGGACGGGTTCTACCACCCGGTCCTAAAGATGGCCATACACAGGTCCGCGTCCGGCCACCACCACGCCTTCTGCATCACGCGTGGGGACATGGGGGTGGACCTAATCTACGACCCGGCCGGCACCAAGTACCAGACGAGGGATACGTACGCGCGTAGGGACCTGGGCAGGGGCGAGCACACGAGCACAGTGGTGGACATGCAGCTGGACGCGGATAGGGACGAGGATCCGTTTTTCGACGCGCTCAGGGACCCGATCCCGCACGAGAGCCGGGATACGTACGAGGAGACGGACTGTACTCGGTTAGGGGGAGGGATCTGGACATGATCGCGAAGATCCTTAAGGACACGAACATAAGCGTGTTCCCGAACGAGGATAGGGCCATCGACACGAACTTGGACGAGGGCTGGTTCACGGACACATCCACAACCGGCGCAGGATCGTGAGTAAGCAGGCGAACACGAGCAGCTACGCGACGATGGTTCTGGACAGTATTACGATCAAAATCGGAATCACGCTACGCCCCTCTTCCTGTTCTACTTCACGGCCATGTTATAGGAGAAGATTAGGCCCCTGACGTCGTTCATGTCCGCCGCCTCGAGGATAGTGGCGACCGCACCCGTAATCCTGTCTAGGACCCACCTCTTGTCCACGTCCATAGACTCCAGCCCGATGTCGACCAGGACGCTGACCCTCTGCCCGTTCGTGGCCTTGTACTTGTAGTGGGGCTGGCATTTAATGAAGTCCCTTCACCATTATCTTCCTGTCCATGTGGCTGCGGTTGGAGTTGATTATATCCAACACCTTGGTCGCGGCGTATTTCGCGATAGGCAACGTGTCCTTCTTCACCGGTGTCATCCCCTTCGTCTCCGTGTTCCCGTCCCAGCCCACCACCGCGTAGTTCTTCCCGGCCGTGATGAGAATCGTCTTGTAGTTCCCCTTGATGTCCGCGCGGATCTCCACGAACGGGGTCCCCTGCATGCTCCCGTCGATGGTCTCCCTCAGCTTCATGCCCAGCTCCATGCACTCGTCCGGGGTCATTCCCTTGACCTAGGCGAAGATTGAGTCCGTGTCCCCGTAGACGACCTTGTACCTCTCCCTCTCCGTGACTACGATCATGTTATTAAGGAAGCACCTGGCCGCGCACGTGGTAGCCTCCGCGCACATCTTCGAGGATATAGTCCCGTGCTTGCTCACCATCGCGCTGTAGATACTGACCAGGAGGATCTTGATGGTCCAGCTCGTGATGTCGTCCCTGTTCGCCTTCGCCCTCTTTCCTCAGGGAGATGAGCTCGTTGATGATCTGCCCCAGCATCGTGGGTCCATCCTGCACCACAGCCACAACCTTGAACACAACCTCTCTCTAACACAACCTCCAACACAACCTTCACAACCACGTACCTGCCCCTCGTCCTCATCACGATTACCTCCCCGGTTGTCACGTTGTGCGCCTCCTCGGGCAAGGCCACGGACGGCCTCGACTGCAGGGACAGGGAGTTCATCGCGGATATGCACCTATCTACGAAGATCTGCAACTTCGACATTAGGGACTCGTATAAGGAGTTGCCGTCGATCACGATCACGCCCTTGTAGCAGCGCAGTACCAGGGGCACAACGTAGCCACCCTCGAACCTCGCGTCGTCGGCCAGAGATGTGTTCCTACCCAGATCCAGCATCTCGTTGTTGGATAGAGCCACCGACTGCAGGACGTGCAAAGCTCTGGTCCAGTCCGAGGGTATATCGGCGCATCTATCCCAGACCATCATCGGTGTTCGTAACAAGCTCGGCTTCGCGGTCAAGGTAGCGATCAATAACAGCATCGGGAAGCGCATCGTATCTATAGAATGGACAAGAAGCTGAGCAGGTTGAGGCCCATCCCCGTTGGAGCTGTGAACAGCTACGTGAAGATGCAGTTCAGCGCGGCCTACCTCTCGATCTTCAACCTGCACGGGAGGGTGCCCACGTCCCTAAAGATCGCGCTGCATACCATCCTTAGGAATCAAATTCCATAGATCGATTGACAGACGTTTGGAGATGGAGTGCGGGCCACGAGGACCCGATACTCGGTAATGATCCCTCCGCAGGTTCACCTACGGAACAGTTTTTCAATTGGGAACAGAGAGAGCCACAGAAGCTTGGAGCTATGAGCAGCCGCCCAGAGCACTCCCGCACAGCCAGCACATCAGCACCTGAAGCACGGCAGCCGGAGCCAGCCCAGCGCTGGACCCTAAGGCTCAAGAGCTGGACCCTGAGGCTCAAACGCCGGCTCCGCAATGGACCCTGAGGCCTACGCGTCACCCCACGATCGACCCTGAGCGCATACACCACCCCTCGATGGTTGCCTAGCTCTAAGATCGTACCTACACCTCGACCGTCACCACCGCGAGCTTCGACCGTCACCGCGAGCTTCAATTGTCGCCCCCACGGGGTTTAATCGTCGCCCCAGGCTCCAGCCGTCACACCGCAAGCTTTAATCGTCATCTCTAGATGGCTGCCTGACTTCAGACATCACCTCGGGCTCCGATCTCCACCGCGCGGGCTTCGATCGTCACTACGTAAGCTCCTGCATCACCACGACAAACTCTAGCGTTACTGCAGTAATGCTTCAGCTATATTAGGCGCCTAGCTCCACCGTGTTTCAGTACCAGCAACCTCACAAGCTTCGATTCATCACAAACTTCAAGCACTCTCATAAGCATTTCAACCATCATGTCCATTGAAGACCTCTCTCAAGCACAGCTCACCACCGCCCGCCTCTAGGTTACCAGCTCACCGGGCTTCCGCACTGCCAACCCGCACCTGTCTCCCGGCGAAATCGAGGGCATCAGGCGCAACCAGTGGCTAGTAGTCCCCGTCTTCACGCCGTACGCGGATACGCACCACGGATACTCGCAGAGTGAGCTTGCACGTCTCTCCCGTCACCACGGCTTCAGCTCACGCCCCTAAGTACGTTGCTGGCACCGGCATCAAGTACCTCACGCACCGGGTGATGTACCAGGGCTACCGAGGCGGTTTAAGCACCGGCACCGACGCATCCCATAGCCTGTACCTGGGCAGGAACACGGCGAGGTACGTTTGACTGTGCGCTGCTGCCCGTCAAGAGAAATGGCGCGTTTATCGTTTGGCTTGTGCTATCTTAAATGGCTACGGAGAGCCTAGCTTGGGAGTACGCCAGATCTCGCTGATAAGACCATGAGCTACTTAAGCCGCCGTACCCATCTCCTTTGGTCATCAGGCATCGTCTCAGACTGCTCAATATCAGTATCAGATGGGAAAGACGCGAGCAAGCCTTATCACCTATCGACCGTCGAAGCAAACACTGCAAATATCTTAGGCGTTTGACTAAGCCCGTGACAATCGTCCTCTGTTGCAGGACTTCTATCATATTCATTCACCGCAGAGATCTTGAATCGTCCACCTCGCAGCTGTTTTACTCATGGCAATCGCCTTCTGCTGCAGCGATTATTCGCTGTGAGGTGCCTGCACACTGATGAGCAGCAAGAGGTTGCCAGCTATAGGAAGAAACCAGACGCAGCGTGGATGGAGTGCGCCTGCGCTGCCTCGCCTAGGACAGAAGGCCAGACCGCTTTCATCTTCCCTTAACTTTCCGTCCCACGCCGCTCAAGGACCCGTTGCTCTGACTACCTGCAATCGTCCTACATAGCTGATTCTAAAGAGCAGTTCGGCCATGGCCCTCCGATTAACCTTGCCACGACGAGCTAGTGATAGAGACAGTAGCTTATCATTAGCACTCCGAGTTCCATAGCGAGACACCGCATCAGGCGTCAAGACAATATGCGCCACTAGGAAAGCCGAGCTTACATCTCCATTTCCCCGTCTACGCATGTGAGCGATAGTATCTACAGCCTTGCTCCGCGCGGAATCAATGATGCCCGCCTCAATCTGGCCGTCGGAAAGGTTAGAGAAATTGTGCCGTCAGCCTCATCCGCATCCGCAACACATTCAGCGCGCGTTGACCCCACCGCGCCCATCATCTCAAGAAGATAATGCCTCCCTCTAGGAAGAAGGCACGGCTATTTGCAGCCTCACAGCCAGACCCACCTACGCCCACAGCCGGAAGCACGCCTACAGCCGGAAGCACGCCCCGCTCGAGCAGCTTCTTCTCCGCGCCCATAAACGCTGTGACTCCCACTCACAATTACGAGGATCACGACAACTGTATGCCGGACCCGGAGACGGTCGTTCCTCAGAGAAGCGAGTCAGAGGTGGCAGGCATGGAGCAAAGCAGGCGACGACCACAGACGCGACCACCATTTATCCGGAGAAGCCAGACTATAGCATCAGGGTATTCCACTAAGCAGAAGACGCGGAGCAGAAGACGCGTATAGGGACTACAGACAACTAGCATCGGCGCTAAGTCACTATCCTAACAACCTGCCTACCGTGAAGGATATGCGCACCATATTATGGATGTGACTTCGAGCATGACCAGGTATCCGGCTAGGTTAAGCAGTTTCCGTACGTTGCTTAGTGTGAACTGCAATCCTTGGTCGCATGTAGGATAAGCGACACAATCACCTAATCATATGATTGTTCCTGGAATTCCTGGCCGATAATACTTTTCTCAGCATCGAGGACCTGGAAAACTATGCTCCCTACATACTCCGACTACACTTCCCGCGCTGACTCGGAGAAGCCCAAGGAGATATCGGTTACATACTACCCTTCAGCATGTGCTGCAGGATGACCGACTCGCCCCTTACGACTGTAGCCAGGTTCTCGCCCACGCTACGCATAAGGCGAACCTCAATCTCGTCGGCATGTACATCTATCAACCGATGCAGGTCCTTAGCTGCGTCATTGTTCCACTTCTTCTTGCCGTATAGTTGCTTGCCGCTGTTCACCTATCCCACAATGTGCCGCGCGTAGGCAAGTAGCTTCTAGTGGTGCCATTCCGTCTTCCCTTCTTCTTCTGGTGTGATCTCGAGCGTGAGCTACCGGAGGTAAAAGTACGAGATGCGCTCCAGCACCCAGCCTAGTTCAATCTCAGCGGCAGGGGCTCTATCCCCGCCGACTGCGAGCTCGCCGTCTGGCGAAGCGATGCTAAAGACATTGTCGGAGAATGTCTGCGTATCTTACGTTGCCGAGGCCGCTGCAAAAGGAATGACGCTGATGCCTTTAACCTGGATTATCCCCTGACTCCCGTCTGCGCTGTAGATGTCGACGTTACCACAGATGCCAATTTGTCCAAAGACGCTGTCGTTACTAGCTACAACCGAGTCAAAAGCTAGTTCAGAATCCGAGTTGATACGGCATACGGCTGGATTTACCCTAAGGCGGCTGATGGAGGTGGGCACATGTAATAACCACAAACGCCATCACCTCGCCAGGAATATGCCAAGGAGATTGCTTGGAATGCCGCATTGAGGAACCCTGGATGAACGAGTAGCTACTATTCAGACAGATGCATATCGCCCATGAACGGCTTGGATACTAGACCGCGGCCATGCCAGAATTTTCTTTTATGGACCGAAGTGCCTGGAACGATCCTAGATATTGATACCTAAGCTTCCTTAGTTCGGAGTAGAACTCGTCTTCGTCCATATCCACTATGTCCGGAAGAGCCGCCTTTCGAGAAGGCAGGAGAGATGGTAAGAAATACGCAGAGATATCTCCAAGCCGCAACTAAGTTCTCGTGCCCTGAACCGGCACGACTCGTGCTAGAAGGTGCGGTCGTGGTCCCACTGGTTAGTGGGCAGATTCTTGACGAGCGTTGGTTTGGACTACTGCTGCGCGTGGACGGCTTTGTGGAAATGCTCGGAGGCAACCACGCCCTCAGGAGTGTTCTTCCACACTAGCCCAAGCGCTTCAGCGAAGCTTTCGATGCCGTTCTGGTTCCGGACTAGGCAACATCCGTATAAAAGATCGACCCGCAGCGCTCGTGCAAACTTGCGCTTATTATTAAAGATCACCTTAGCCTCCTCAATAGCGTCCGCATCCCCCGAGAGAGTGACACTGGTTGGCGAGTTGCAAGCTACGACGCATATCCGCCCCTTAAAGTCCGGCAGCGCGCACAGTTCCTCGGCATCCTCGGGGCTTGTACCTACTGCTATCATCGCTCCCGCTTATCCGGGCGCCCCGCCGGCAAGGCCTGAATACAATCCCCAGTAGTACGCAATTACGGCAGCTTCCTGGGCGGAAACGACGCCGCAGCAATCTCGCTAGAGCTGTGGCCAAAGACAGCGGCAAAGTTGATGTCGGCTGCGCACAGGAGGTCCACCAGGATAATCTGCACCATGGTGTAAACGGGCTGGGAGAGTGCGGCGGTGTTCAGCCTCGACATGGAACCACTAGCCAAGATCTTAGCTTTCAGGGACCAAGACAGCCGGTCCGCTTAGGGAAGCGCCGCTAGTGCGGCCTCGAGTTGCTCAAGACAGGGTTGAACGAAAGGTGAATGCTGTATTAGCTCCTTGCCCATACCGGTCCATTACGCGCCTTGTCCTTAATGAGGAACCTGAAAGACGTTATCGAGGTCTTGGATAAATCACTATCGGTCAACCTCAATGACCTCGTATACATCCTTGGTACCCGCCGCATCCAGCGGCCCGGCGTAAATATTCGAGATCTTTACAGGTCGACCTCATGAGCGCGGAGAACGTGAAGGGGAGAAGACACGGTTGGTGCTCCGTATTCTCGTCAGCGGGATGGTTGAGATGGAGAGCCGATTCGTAGCTCTCCATAACGGCATGTACGTTTGTCCCTCCGAAACCGAGGCTGTTCAAGCTAGCCCGCCGCGGCTCTCCCGGCGCAACCTTAGGCCACCCCACGGCCCTAGTTAGCACCTTGAGGTCTCGAGAGAACGGCTTAATAGCCGGGTTCAGCTTCTCGAACAGTAAGTTGGGTAAGATTACCCCGTGCTACAATGCCGGGGATACTTTCATCAGCCCTGCGATCCCTGCAGTACCTTCCGTATAGCCGATTATGGATTTGATGGACCCAATAAACAGCCTCTCCTCCTCGCCACCATCCCCTATACGACTTCCAATCGCACGATGGATGGGCCCCGCCTTAATGGGTTCCCCCACCAGCGTCCCTGTGCTATGCCCCTCGAAGAAGTAAGGTCACCCTTAAGCCGTACTCAGATCGAGTCCCGCGCGCTGATACGTATTCCTCACCAGCGCTATCTACGCATCGGCACTCGGTGCCGCGATTCCCTTAGTGCGCCCATCCTGGTTCACCCCCGTCTTACAGATGACGCACTCGATAGCATCCCTATCAGCGATAGCATCGCTTAACAGCTTTTAGACGACCGCCGCGATACCGCCTTCTATCCGTCTGCTCGTGCCGAGGATCAGGTTCGTGCCGGCTGCAATAGCGAGGCGGGACGTGCCGGAGCGGACGGCTTGAACAGCTTAGCGCACAGCAACTAGGAAGGAGAAGCATGCAGTGTCGATCGTTCCCGCTGAGGCCGCGCCAGTCGAAGAAGTATAAGATCCGGTTCAAGACCACGGAGCGGGCTACGCCCGTGGGGAAGTACTGCGATTATATCAGTCCTCTTAAGCTCAAAGCACTCAATCGCTCTCTTATCGGTGTGAAAGTTCATTAAGGGTAATCCTCGTTCATAGTCAGACACTTCCCTGAATTAGATGTTCCAAAAGGTTGTTGCGAGAAGTGTGTCCACAAAGGGCTACCTAGATCGATTTGCGGCGCAAACAATAATGAACCTAGGCAAAAAACCTCTGATTTCTTTTATACTACTATAGTCTTTAAGTCGCTTAGTCTACATCTACCTTAATACAGAATCATATCCTTTGCCAGCCGTTATTCTTACGTTTGCTCCCACTTAACCACCGGCCCCCCCCCGTCGTTACCAGGACTGGAGCTCACGCCACTCCGCTCCACCAAAGCTCCAAACTCCTTCCGCCCGCTCGCGTACATCTTCCCGTCCTCTAAGCTCGTGAACTCACTGTTTATGACGCTCCAAGGCCCTACCCGCGCACGGAGTCAAACCAGCTCCCCGCCGCCTAGATGTGCACATGGCTTCTGATACCCTTAAAGCGGAGCGGGCGACCCTGCACCACCGGGTCTGCTTCGGAGACAGCGGTGGTGATAATTTCCATTTAGTGGACCTTGGGGCAGATTGGTTTATCACAAAATTCCCGCTCTGCGCCCGCTTGTGCGCCTCCTGCCTTGCGGGTTGCTCCTTCTGCTGCGGCCTACCTTGTTGTGCGCTCGGCGGTAGCTGTCCCGCATCCCCCTGCGTTGGCGAGAAGTCGGAGTCGATGGACACCGTGTCTTCTTCTTCTGTCTGGCCGCTGCTATTCGCTGCTCGTCCTCCCTGCTGCAGACGCCCGGCCGCCCTCCGGGCTTAGTGGTCCGCCCTACTGCCCGCTTAATGATAAACACTGCTCAATCCTCCGGCCTCCATCTCGCTCCTCCCTAGAGACTCTAGTAAGTTCTTCTTCTTCTCAAGTTCCTCGCTTGTCACTCTCCGCTATTACCAGCCCTGCTATTGACTACAACCTTCTCGCTAATAGCATCACAACTCAAATCCTTAAGCACCGCCTCGCTTATCCAATCCGCGTGGTTGGAGTGCCTCACATCGGAAACATAATAACGAACTCCATGCGCAGGTTTTCGTGCCCTAGTAGCACGTAGCTGGCGTCGAGGGTGAAGATTATTACGATACTAGACTTATTGTCATCTGCAGCACTATTGAGGTACTGCTACTCAAACACGGGACGCCGGATTCCGGAGATGTGCCATGTAGCCAGCAGGCCTGTGGAAGATGTTAAGAAGTAGATGGGCTCCTTTTCGCGCTGGTAGACGGTTGCGCGGTTGGTGCGCGGCATGGTGTGCGTACTGCGTGCCAGAGGCCCGGCCCGCCAGCCGCGGACAGGAGGTACAGCTCCTCCTACGTCGAGTCGGCGCCGCCGACGCAGAGCGACACTAGGGTCCTGCGGTCCGGGAGACGCGGTGATGGTGCGGGTAGGTATAGCTATCCCGGCAGCGCGCTCTACACGCCTTTCTCCGTCCTATACGAGATCTTAACCCGCTGGACATCGTACGGGAACAGCCGGGTCGGTGCGTGAAAGCATTCAATGCTGCGCTTGTAGGCGGCGAGCAGGCATGGGCACCCCGACTTAGGCGTGGCGGGATGCAGGTACTGGGCTGTGCGGAGGTAGTTGCTTGCGCGAAGGAAGGCGTTACGCGCCGAAGAGGCATGGCCACGCGCCTGCGCGTCGAGCGCAAGCTGCTCGGCCTTTTCGGCTAGGTGGAGAAATGCGCGCTGCTAGGAGAGGGCGTTGTTGGGTCTGTAATTGCCTTGAAGGAACTCGAATAACAGCGGCATTGCGACATTTACAAAATACAACCTCTCCCCCTCCTCCCGCCCGTAACGCCCTACAAAACACAACCCCTCTGCACAACACAACCCCCCGCGTGCAACACGCTCCGCGCACAAGTCAACAATCTCCACCCAACTCCCCAGCGCCCGCACAACCGCCGCCAACACATAAACGCAGTCAGGCAAAGCCATCAGCACTAGCCGCCGCCCATTAACCCTCCTTATGACGCCCAGGCCCGCCACTGTCGCCGCATCACCACTGCCCTCCCAGCACGCCTTTACCGCGCGGTACTTAAGCCGCAGCATAGAGATGCTAAGCAGCTTAAGTGCCACCGCGACGCCGTACGGCTGGCGAGCGCGTGGGTCCAGCCTAGCGTTAATGGCGAGGTTGGATGCGCGGGATGATAACGGCTAAAGCGGCCATTTCGGGCAGGTATTTTGTTGCGTAGACGCGGCGCGAAAGCTGAGAATATTGTTTAGGTCTGAGAAAGCCTTTCGCGGACTGAGTTGGAAGCTAGAAACAGGCTCGCAGATATGCTCAGCCTACTGGCACACCTCATCGAAGACCTTGAGACTCGGAGCAGCGCTGGAGCTGTTTATAGGTAGAGTGCTGGATTGTTGGCCATCAAGCTGCTCTTTTCCGGCTCTAGGGATAGGAGAGCCTGCTACGACTGCGGAGACATGTTGGCACCGCCGCTTTAGGTATCAAGACTGCTGAAGGGCTGGCTGTCAGGCTGAGGGGGCTTAAGGCTAGATTGCGTGAGAACGACGAGAGGTGCGGACGACGGTCCCTGGATCTGTTAGGATATTAATATAGGAGTCGAAATGCGCTTAAGAGGCTCACGAGTGCTTGTCCCGGCGAAGAGAGGCTCGCGAAAGCAGCGAGTACCTTCCCAACTATCAGTCATTTAATGAATTGCCTGTCCGTGTCCATATCCGAGCTGCGCCTTATATCGCCGAATACCTCCGCATGTTCGCTGACGTCTCTGCCGATTGTTTAGAACTTGGATCCTTCGCCGATCGAGCCGATTGCCCGTCTCCACATGCTGTGGGCGTCTGGCATGCCAAGCTGTCCGTGATTCGACTTTACGATGGCGCTGAACTGCTGGAGTTGTAGTCGACTACTCGCATTCGAAGAAGATAAGCTAGGCGGAAGCTACAATAGTCTGCGTAAGGCCTAACCACCCTGGCTTAGCAAGTATGTGGACTAGCCGAGGAGACAGGTCGAGCGATGGATGGTGGAAGTGAAATGGCTGACGGCCGACGAGTGATAGGCGAGGGGAGGGAAGAAGGCGGAGAGCGGTCTGGCAACTGAGAGAGCTGTGCTAGTAAAGTTCGGGCGCCCTTCAGGCAAAGCTGCAGAAGTATTGTCGATCTACTTACTTAGCAAAAACAGCCTCACACTCCTCACACTCCACCACCTTCATGCATATACTCAAAACTTGATACATATGTAGAAGCCATTACTCTCTATCATAGGTGACTTGAATCTCTGGAATTAGTGTTGTGGTGGCTGAGAATGTTTAGTTTGATCGCTGCCGCTCGGTGACAACACTTCTGTAACGTTGCCTGCCTCCAAGGGACGAGAGACGCGGCTCTGCGGGAGCGGCTCTGCGGAAGCGGTACGGCCCCTGTGCCCGTAGCCCCAAATATTCCAGAGGTGCGTCGAAATGGCTGTGAAGGCCCCAGATGGAGAGTAACCTTAGAGGGACTCGCAAAATCTGTCCAAAACGGGAGGGCGATCGTGGCGGCTTGCCTTTTGGCTTTGTTTGACAGCTTGCTTTGATGCTGTAGAGACGGCGCTCTATGGTCTATAGAATCAACAAGGCCTGTGAAATCTCCACAAAGAGATCCGTGGTCAGAGAGATGACACGAATACCGAAGCCAACTAGGGGGAATTCGTGCCTCTTCACGTGATTCCGCTCTGCATTCAATACATCAAGTTATTTAGATGGATATTTCAAGTATCAGGCGTACTTATAAATCCTATTTACTTTCTATATATCCAAATCCGTCCTGCTGCCACGATGAAGACGAAAGCCTATTCCTATAGAGCACCACCAAGCCGAAAGACAGCCCAACATATCAAGCAGTGGCGCGACGTTTGAGGCGGGCAGATTTCGGCGCAGAACGTTTCGCGTCAGGCGCGTGCGTAGGTGGCTAAGTCGAGACGTTGTCCGGCTTTGCTGGCCAAAGCATTATCTGAAGCTAGGTGCTTGGCCTTGCTTTTCATTGACTTCTGATACGCCTCGCCTTCCCCGTCTGCATGATACAATATGCCGAGAGAGTTGAGATGTAGTAATTTAGGTGCGGCGAAAGGTAACTGTGGGCTGGCTAGGAAAAGAAAGGCGCGGTGCGCTGGAGAGCTCGGTGATCTGTGCTACGCGTTGATTAGCCGCTGCTTAGTTGCTCTATGCTTTGTCGCCTACTCTGCTTTGTCTAGCAATAACGACATCCGGCGCCGGCTACACTATTCTGCTCGTCCGAGCCTAGGTATGAGAGAACGGCGACTGTGGGAACCCAAAGGGGTCTTGGTGATAGTATTCGTTTTGCAGGGCCAGAGAGCTCGGGGTATCCGCAGTAGGAGTAGGAGGACGAACAAGCGGTCGGTCGGAAGTAATGCCCAAAATGAATAACAACGCTGTAGCTACTGCATTTAAATAAGCAAGCGGACATGAATGTATCCCGGTGTTCGTACCTAGGTAGACCGCCGTGGCAGCTACAGCCTCCTCATTGCAAACCACGAAGTAGAGAAGCTCGTTGACGGTTGTAACATAGGTTGATAAGCATCACTGACTTTCGACTTTCGACTTTCTACTTTCGACCTTTGACTTTCGGAGCTCTCATCGGTGTGCGGGGCAGTCGCGTACTTATAAGGCTCGTTCGTAGTTAGGCGTTCGTTCGCGGCTACAGGCTATGCTGGGCGTCTTGAGGACCGGAGCCCTTGTTGCCTACGGCTACTCGTATGGCCCTCATTGAGGCTCGCACGCATCACGAGTGGCGGCTGCGAGCCTTGTCGACGACTACTACCGTTCACCTTGCTATGGACTCGCCACCTAAGCATCAAGCGACGCTTTCCTTATCCTCCATAGAGGCACCCTTCAGAAAGAATGTCAGCACAACTGTTAAGAATGTTGAGAGATGGTAGGCTTGACGCTTACCTTTTTGACTACTTCCTTGAACTTCTCAATCCATTCTACTAGGCATGACTGAGCACTAGCTTGAGATTGTAGAGCTTGCTTTGCCGCGTGCAGAAACGAATCTGTAGTAAGTAACATATCCATTAGGCGTTGCTCAAGCTGTTTCCTTTGCCATTCAACGTCCCTGTTCTTTGCTGCTGCCTCTTCGTTCTTCGCCCTAAGCGTTCGGACTTCCCTCTCTAGTGCTGCGTCGTCGTCGTCGTCGTCCCAGCCTTTATCCAACGGCGTCAGTTTGAAAGGTGGCTTTGACGAGCTCATTTGGTGATACTGGTTTGTCTTGAGCCGTAGCGGTGATAGACGCTAGGGTGGAAACGTTATAAGAAGACGTCGTGTAGGTACGTTAAGGTCTGCAGCGTTGTGCAAGTGTAAAAGGTCAAGGAGTTCTTTTTGACTGCTCTCCCCGCCGGAAACAAATAGAATCACGTGCCGCAGCCCGTGTACCATGACCAAACTCAGCCAGCTCGTTTCTAGATGACTTTTTAGTTAACCACTACCAATATAGCTCCAAGCTGAGGCCTAGAAATTATTGTTGCGATACGCGCTTGTATTATTACCTTGGGCCTGATAATCAATGAATGCGGCGATTATAGAACTACCCTCACCACGTGGTTTGATGATGGACGGGCTACGGCACGTGATTCTATTTATTTCCGGCGGGGAGAGTAGCTCCAGCCGCCTTGAAAAGCTCACGTGGTAATCACGTGCAGTTGTATCTATTACCACAGGTTTAGCCGTTTGGTAGCATCAGGGTTTTCTTGCCCAGTGAGAAGGTTTGGAGAATGTTAATAATAGCCCACCGTCTATCCGTCTATCCGTCTATATTACCCTACAGTCACCCAACCAAGCCGCACCAAAAACCATATCCGCTTCGTACACATAAACCTTAGCGTAGCGCCCGTCGCATCTCCTGGCTATACGGCGTAGGAATACTGCCGTAGTTCTTAAGTCTAGCCCCGGTCTCATCATCAAAGACCCACGCGCAGACTGCCTTTGCCAACCTAGCTATAACCCTCTTCAGCTTTTTGCGCTCGCAACGCACCGCCTGCCTCGCAGGAAGATGCGCTAGCAAGCACCTGCCGAACCAGTTGCACAAGTATCCTGCCAGGTGATATGCCTCCTTCTTGCTGAGTGGAGTGCAACCCGCGGGAGGTGTATCGACCTCGTGGAACCTCTGTCAGGTATTCAGGTTAGCAAACCACGCTATCAGACAGTATCGTCGAAAGTCAAACTCACCGAGCCGAGGTTTTTGGCCGCCATGTCGAAACTTCTGGGCTTGTCGAGTGGCTGGGCCCTACCACGGCGCTCCTCAAGCCGAGATAGTTCATGGTACCATGCCTCAGCGAGCATTGGCCACGTGGTGGTAAAAGCTATGAAGCTGTCTACGACCCGTCTGCTGCTTGTGTCCGCCGAAAGATTGGGTGTGAGGTAAACAGCCGCGGGGAGTTGTTGGAACTTGAGAGGAAACTCTGCTTGAATCGATTGGAGGGCCGTACCAGTTCCGGAGGAAGCTGGTGAGGTCGTCATAGTGGCTGTTGTTGCGCGGATTGGTTGAAGTGGGTTTGCTGGTATGGTGTTGGTCTGATGATATGCTGTTGGTCTGATGGTATGCTGTTGGTCTGAAAGTCTAGCAGAAGAGGGGAAACGGGGAGACTAACAAGAAGAGAGTGTGGGTAGCTACGAAACAGTGAAACTACGGTGGAAGTCATAATAAGGGATAAGACAGGGGGAAGAATCAATGTTTTAGACAGAGTGGTCTTTGAAAATGTTTCACTATGATCTAGAAGGGTGGAAAAACACCTTTGGGATAAGAGGATGTTGTAAAACGTCGCCTGAAGAGCGTACCGAACGATATTCTGAAAGAAGCATAACTCAGAAATAGAGCATGTCCTAGAAACAGAGCGTGTCGAGAAACAGAGCGCGTCTAGAAACAGAGCATGTCTAGATACAGAATATGTCCCGGGTGAATTGCATATTCCAGAAAGGAAAGACAGGAGAAGCATTTCCAGAAGAAGCCGGCTATTAAGTAGGTGAGGGACGCGTCAATACAGTGTTCGCTCTAAACAGCTATATTGCAAGAGCTCTGCTGCGTAAACGACACAAAATCGCGTTGCCGGAGCAAGACATAACCACGATGCCTCGTAGAGATTACAGCAAGATCGGTCGCAAGCCTAGTCCAGCAACATCCCAGCGTAAGCAACCACCATCACCACCATCACCACCATCACCATCGTCACCGCTGCAGCCCGCACAGCCAGCGTCCTCCGCTCCTCGTTTAAGGCGTAGCGGTCGGATCCTCGAGCGAAACGAAGAGCAGAGGCGCCGCCTTGCTAAGCCACCCAGCGTGCCGCTCCGACAACCTATGTCCTCTTCCTCTCCCTCGCCCTTGAGGCGTAGCCTTCGGATCCGTAACCGAGACGAAGAGCAGCGCCGCCGCCGCGTAGAACCGTCCGGCGCACCATTCCTGCCACTGCACTCCTCCTCAGTCCTACAGCCTATGCCCCGACGCCGCCGTGTTATGTTGCCTCGTCATATCCAAAAGAGACTGGTCGAAGCGGCGCTGCAAAGCGGCTTGCTTGGTTGCATTCGTTCGAACGAAGGGACTTCTCGAGGTGAGGCGTCAGCTCTACGTCGAGCGAGGTGAATAGTGAGTCGGAGAACAAGCGACAGCTTTAAGGTGAGTGAGATTGCCTGTTACATAATCCGCGCCTGCGCTGTTTAGGTGAAGAATAGACTGACCGTTTGATTAGCATCCATACCGGATACCGTCGGAACACCTACTGGCCGATTTTCTCACATCTGTAGCCTATTTAGGCTGAAGGTGTCTACCACCGAGATTGTGCTCTACTTCGAAGCTCGGGTGGGAGTGTTGTGTGTTGTGACATAAGGAAGCAGCTTGGGAGACTTGTGCCGAAGGAAAGTAAATTCAGTAACCAAGAAGGCCTCAGGCAGAAAGCTAGGCCATTTGACCAATTAGAGCAAGGCGGTCAAGCGGTTTGAAGCTGGTATCGGCGGCGCGATTCAGACAGAAATCACAGCGTTATCGCGAAGATTATAGCGGCAATCACTAGCAGGGCTGAATAGATACTCAAATTGAATAGTTCTATGTCCTCAAAACTACTATACAATGCGTTGTTGATGAATGCAGCACGCTGAATAGCCTTACCGTCGCAGTTGATGACAGATCACGTGTCAGATTAACTTTCTGGCGGCACGAGCACCAACGACAAGGCCAATGCTTGAAAGACTTTGAGAGTATCGGCAGAAGTTTTTGTCACCTTTGAGGTCTCAGAGCCACCTCTGAGATCTCAGAACTGCCGAGCCCATGTCCTTCTCGAGAGCGGCTCGCGAGATCTCGAAGATGCCAAGCTGCCAAGCTGCTGCAAGGAGCTCCAGCTCCGTCCAGCTCCATCCATCCAGCCTCAACCATTACCACCACCACGACGTGTGGAGGAAGTTCTGCTTGCATTATGCACTCCTGAAACTTTTGTAAAAAAAAGAATGAGTTTGAACCGCTTAATTTTCAAAAATGTGGTTGTCCTGCCTCTGCTAGCTAGGGGGTGAAAATCAAGCGAGAATGGAACTCCAAAGGGCAGCTCGGCAGCTCGGTAGCTCTGAGGTGGGTCTGAGAATCTGCTGGTGAAATCTGACGGCTCGGAGCCGGCTCTGAGCAACCGGAGTTATCGGAGCCACACGCAAACATCTCAGAGATGGTCGAGCTGCGAAACAAAACGCCAATGAGTGATTGCGTGATTTCGTCCGATTGACTAGAAATGCATATGCAACGCTGAGCGGTGTTCACCGCCCTTTAGAGAGGTGTCTTGAGCAGTTGTTCAAGATAGTCACGAACAAGCAGCATCCAATTGATCGCGGAGAGACGTACATGGTAAGCGGTTGCGAGATCTCGGCAGCGGCAACCGCTTGGACATCCGCGCCACCTAGGTAGATTCAGGTTCATGGCTTGTCCGATACGTCCGGTTGCGCATCCGCGGCCCCTTAGATGCACTTCCGCCAGCTGCATCTCTTGATCCTCCTTCCAACTCTATCCATGGTTGAACCGCAGCTACACGACGCACGTAGATGCAGAGAGATGCCCTGATGCTCCGGTACAATTGGTTGGCTGTCCATCTGGGTAGTCACCACGGCTCGCGCGTACGGCGTCGTCTAGCAAGCCCTCACCGCTGATAGCCTGATACCTCCTTACATTGAAGTGTATGCGGTATCTGCAGAGCTGCAGTTACAATCATTCTTCACGCATACAGAGCGCCAAAGCTTGCCTGTCCGAAATCAGGCCGAGAAACTCCGCCGTAACGCGCTGCATCTCCATCCTGGATCGTATCTATGAGCATCTCGCTTCTACTAAGGCGACATCCGGGCCCGCTTTTCCAAACATGGCCGCAGCATACGAAGGACGGGATATTTACTGAGGAAGCGGTTGCCGCTTGTTTTGGTGGTTGCGCCTTCGTACGTCGGAGAACATGCCCAGTATGCCCAGGTATCACAGGCGGAAATACAAACTACAGGGTCCGAGGGTCCCAGGGTCCCGTAAGCGTCGCTACAGTCAGGGCAGCACTTATCACAGGCACGCAGGTACCTGCTGTCCACAACCACGTTTGAGCCTTACGACCAAGTTACACCAACATCGACTGAAGGATACCTAGCAGTTGCCTGCATGTGGTGGCTTAAGCACAACAAAGCAAGGGCTGACGAGGCAGCCAGGCGCTGTCTCCATCGATCTCACCTGCCACAACACCGATCTGCACGATGCAACTGTTGTGGAACAGCGCTCACTGAGTTCGAAAGCTATGTAGTAAAACAGCGCTAACTGAGTTCCATCTCTGCATCAGTTTCAAAAGCATGCAGTAAAATAGTGGAGTGTGAGGTGGGTCTAGCCTGGTAAGCTGTCGATCAAGACTTGCAGTATGTTGCACTGCAGTGCCAAATCGACCTTTTCTACAACATCTTCCTTATTAAATTGTGATAGAATCCTCGTTGGATTATGATAGAATCCTCGTCAGATATGATAGAACATGTAGTAACGTCATGCAGCAGCAATATACAATATGATGATCTCAAAGTGTTCTTCATATAATCCTGTTGCTTCTCGTCTTAACCTTCTCGTCTTAACGCTTTCCCACATCAACGCCTTACAAGCTCCAGCTCATTATTCAGATTATTACCTTTGCTCACAGTCTTCGAGTTTTCCAGCAGTGGAGCCTTACTATGCCAAAGAGTTTCGTGTCAGTACATCCTTTCCCCTTGGACGCTCCCCGCCTACAGCCTTCTCAAGTTGACGGTTTTGGCAGCTCCCACGTCAAGCAGTCCCACCAACACCCGTATCTCAACAGCCAACGCCACCCACGCTCTGTTCCTCCTTCGCTCTTCGCTTCCAGGTCTCTTCCTCTCCCGCCTCTCGAGCCTTTCCCGCCCTCATCTTTCGAGCCTTGTCCGCCCTCACCTCCGGTTCAAATGGATTCCGCATACCTTTTATCTTGGCTCAATACTCAACAGAGCCAGGTGATTCTACCAGAACCTGGTTATCCTACTCAGCCGTATGCCACTACAGCCACGAGTCAATTTCTCGATATGGGACCGCCCCTTTCCTCCCTGCTTCACGAAGACACGACAAATAATCTTACGGTACCGAACTCAGGCGGGCAACCTCCAGACACGCCCGCCCCACGTATACGTAAACGCAAACGCATACCCTTGTCTTGCACACGATGCCGACAGAGGAAGAGAAAATGCAGCGGTGATTCTAAGGACGGCACCGGCTGTACTACATGCATTACGGCCGGCTCTCGTGCTTGGCCTTGCTCGTTTACCTACGACATGGTTGAGGGGACTACGCATGGTACAAACCATGAAACTTCGGCCTCTCGGACCCCGCTCCCGCTCGCGCACAGGCGTCACAGCGATCCCGGGGTCTGGCATCCAAAAGCGAGCAGTAACTGGGGAGATTGACGCACCGGTCGCTGTGGATCACGGCGGTCAAGGGGCTTGGTATTAGGGTAGTTGGTTCGTCGATGGGCAAGATTTTGTTGATAGGCAAGATTTTGTCTATAAAGGTTGAGCGCAGCTTTGCTCTTTTCTTCTCCAGCACTCCTCTTCTCTCTTTAACACTATCCATGTAGTCTTTTTTTCGGTTAAAGGGCTATCATTCTCGGTAGTTGGTTCTTTAATAGGCAAGGTTTCGTCTATAGAGGTTAAGCGCAGCTTTAGTCTTTTCTTCTCCAGCACTCCTCTCTTCTCTCTTTTACACTATCTATGTAATCATCCTTTGACATAGACCTCGTCCTAATACCTAAAGAAGTATATTGGTAGAAACGAAGTATATTAGTACAAAAAGTAGGAGACTTCCTACACCATCCGCAATTGTGACTGCAACTCTAAAGTCCGAAACCCAGTATCTGAATGCTCCCGCTCATGCCTGATGAGTCTATGCCTATTGATTGCCCGATCCCATCTGGCTCGTTAAGAATCTACCCGTTGACCAAGCTGCATCAAACCTGCGCTCGCCAATACAGTACCTAATAGCCCTCTTGCCAGTTCCAACAATCGTAGAGCTATACTGCGGCTAAACAATAAAACCTATCGGCTTCTTTACAGAGCCTGGTAAGGGTTTCGGCAAGCGAGCAAGCAGGACCGCGCCACCAGCGACAACAAGCTCGCCGACCGCTCAGACCGTCGGCAAGGAGAACCTTACTACCGACAATACACTTCAACCTCACTAGATACCGCTTGTCAGTTTCGCGACACCTATTCAGCTTTAAGGCACCCGGTCCTTACAAAATGCTTTACAAGACACGAAGATCCTAGTACAAGGCGTTCGTAGCAAGGTCGACAGCATCCGCATGCCTACTGCATCCGATACACGAGAGCATGTCCTATCTAGCTAACAAGCTCCGGTAGAACTGGACTACGCTCGATGAACTAACGCGCTGTGCCTCTGAAGCCGTACAGCCTGGCCTGGAAGCAACAACGTAGGTGCGGGGTGCGAGACTGTTGAAGCCCGATATCGCTAGTACGAATATCTAGCACGAATATCTAGCTAGACCGTTGCTAGTGTTCCTTCAGGTCCATAGGTTCAGCGTTGTCCGAAGCAGGAAGGTAGGCGCTTCGGGGCGTTTAGGGAAAGCCATCGCGGAGGTAATAGAGAGCTTCTTTTTTCTGTAAAAACATATCTGACTGCTATCGCTATGTACATAAACGCTCATCCAACTGTATCCCTCCACGCGCATTCTCCACCATCAGCGGGCCAAAGCACCTTCGAAACCAGAATCCACCTCCTCCGCGCCGTCTTGTCCGAGTCGATGCGGGGCGGTAGAGGCGCAATACGTGTGTTTAGGAGTCCTGCATACGTAGACGGAATCGATGTGGTGTCGGTAGGGGTAGGGAGGGGAGAGGAGGGGGAAACGAGGTCTTTCCAAGCCGATCTCCTCAGCTTGCTAGGCTACGGATGAGGTTGAGCCCTAATTTGGAGGCTGTGTGGTGGAGGGCGAGAAGGAGGACGTAGGTCGAGCCACTGGCTGGGCTACAGCTACAAGGTACATCGGAGGACAGGGGCTGCCAAAAGGAAAGGCGCTGTAGGCGAAGTGTTAGCTAAAGCCTTTGCGGATGCTTTTCTGAATGAAATCACCTTAGTAAGACAATCAAGGTGCCGAAGGAGGCCGTGGTCTACTTGGCTTCTGGGCTAGAGAATCTGTTAGCGATATCTTGGATCGAGAAGCCAGTCTTCGCTTCCTTTGGCTTCGAGGGAATGCTGACTTTCCCCGCCCACGGCGAGTGTAACTTGCAGAACCAGAAACCGGGATTGTATCGGTCACTTTCCTCGCTTCTGGGCTAGAAGAGCGATTATCGACGTCCTGGATGGAAATCCGGTCTTTATTCTCTTAGCCATTTAGAGAGAACACAGTGTCTGCGATGCATTTCCATTGCGGCTAGAGAGAATCGCGGGCTCGCAGTAGTAGCGTAAGTCGTGGCATTAAAGTCGGCGGCTGATAAGTGCTCCGAGATGCGTTTAGTTGAACATCTTCGAATGGAGTCTGCTGTAAACGCCTTAGTGCATGGCGAAGGTGCTGGAGGAGGCCGTAGTGACTTCTCGGAGGGTGGGATGGAGGTTAGGAGAGGTAAGTGCCTAGGTAGTCTAGCGCGGAGTCTCGGAGTACCGATGGCCTCCCCAGAAGACGAGCAGGGAAAAGGCTGTACGGAGGTATCTTCGATGCAGACGAAGATGAGGCGTTCCCGCAAGCCGAGCGTGATAAGTTACTTATGTAGCGCTGGAAAGTGGTTCTCAGGCCCACAGTCTCCGGGGTCGGAGCCCATGGGCTACACTGAAGAGGACGGGAGGCTACACCTCAGCGCATTTCAGCGCATTTCAGCGCACCCAAGGCTGAGCAATACCGTTCAACATCCACGAAATCCAACCCGCCTGCCAGAATCGATGCGACAGCCACCTCATCTTTAGTAGGACCCGTCCCAGCTACTTCACACCGCACAGCAAGCCAAGGCACGCTCCATCGGTCCTTTAGAAGGCCGCCTGTGGACCTTACGCTACCGCTGCCACTACTATAGGCCCTTAATTCTCTCCGGCGCTGAACGCGGCCCTTAGATCCTTCGTCAAAATCGACTCTCCCAGCTCCCCCTTTCCTCCTAGCCACGACGTGTCCCGCGCCTGTCTCCATAGACTATATATTCCCAGCATCGTACCGTTATCGCTCTTGTCTCGTACCTCTACCGCACTTCCAAATCCACCCTACCTTTAGCCTAGAACCTTCTACTAATTTGTGAGATACTATCTACCACGATAGGCTATCCGAACATATAATATATAATCTAAGACTCCTTATCTTAGGCTATCCGATCATGGAATTTCTTCGTTTATCTAATGTCAAGCCAGCTCGCGAAGTGCCCAAGCCGTCTAAGTCTAAACACGCCTAACCTAAGCCAGCAATATAGTAACTAAAGCACCTTATACCAGACAAGGCTTTAAAGCGAGACTCTCTATAAGACAACCTATAGAAGGTCTATATTATTGCGGGTGAGGCTCTTCGCAGCCCCTTAATAAAGGACTTTGGCAGCCTAACTATATAGATAATACCTTGAACAACGCGTTCAAGGCTAGGTAAGGAGATAATTCATTAGTTAATAATACTTATCTACTATAGGACATCAACCTCACCTGCAGCCTCTAGTATATTCTATAAGAGTTAGTAACTGCTAAAATCTACGTCCGAGGACCTCCGAAGCCCTATCCTATAGGCATCTCTATACTGCTCCGCTCTTCAAGCTCGGTAAGGCTCTACGCGTTTTATTTGCTGATTTGCGTCACCTAAGGTCCTGTATTGCCTTGCACGTCCTAATAGGTCATCCGCATGTCTCATTTATCTTTAAATAGTCAAAACGTCGTTTTTCGGAAGTCCTCAATTTGAGTCTACCTCAGCCATGTTGGAGCGCGTCCGGGTGAACCATATGGCTCGCGCGCCCACAGACTGATGCAGTCATGTTCCAGCGGCTGTCCGTCTCTAAGACATTCCCAATCTCGCAAGCGCGGTCGGATGGCATAAAGCGCCCCTCCTGCACATTCTTCTCCCGTCACCATCATCCCTCGTCAGCATCGAACCCATTCAGCATCATTCCTAGTCATCCGTGGACGAGCTTTCGCGTTCTTCCTAACTTCACATCGCAACCGCTTGATCGAAGAGCATCCTTCTACGCATCCATCCAACATCAGAACCAATCCTAGTCATCTGTAGACCATATTCCCATTCGCCGACCACTCAATCGAAGAGCACCGTCCCGTCTCTTAGTTCCTCACCTCGAAGCCCTATTCAAATCCTCAAGATATGCTCGCCTCCATCACTCAGTTTGCGCTCCTTCTCCAGGATTTGGCTGTCGCGGCGCTGGATACCATAAGAGACCTGCTCACCGCGACTTCCAGCGTTGCGGGAAATATGTGGAACACAGCCTTAAATCGCGCAGCCGTAGAGTTCCCCACCACAGCCTTCATCCCTGGTATGTTCCTAGGGTATGCCGACGCTATCGTGGCGTTTACTATTAAACTCGAGCTCGTGCTGCGCCTGGTCCTAGATGAGCCAACCGCCAAGTTCGCCATGTTCTTAATATATACGGCACTGATGTTCAACCTGTACCTGCTTGCTCGCGGTACGTATAATATCGAGACTACGACGCTGAAGACGATTTGCACCATCATCCACGGACTTTTTCTCGCGGTCTGCTTAGTCTACACCATGATTCGACGCGGCCTTTGGCTGATCTTCTGAGACGTGGGACATCTGGGACATCTGGGACTTGCACGGGTTCGGCGCTGATAGGCCACTGTCCTTATCGGTTATGGGTGTTATTGGGAGGTGTTCCTAGGAAGTGTTTATTTGGACGGACAACACCACGGTTCGTTGAGGGTATCTACTTCTGACGCTGGAGAGGCTGGGACTAGTTTGGGACAACATGGGTAGTGGATGGGTTTGGTTCAATTCCTTCTTTGTTACGAATAGAAGGCCAACGTGACTAATCAGTAATCTTACCCAACTCTGCTATGCCGTCCGTAAGGCGGCTGCACGTTAAATGTGACTACCTATCGAAGCTTAGCCTGGCAAGATTGGCGCGCTACTTCTTGCGCCCAGGGTGCCGAAGCTGTTGAGTATACCCATGACTTTAACTTTAAAGGTTGCTAATCACACCCCTTCCGGCTGTGGTCCGCTGAAGGGCAAGAACAGCACTACCTCTTGCCCTAAGACTGTTGACTGTTGCTGGTTAAACAGTGCAAACACATTGGATCTTGGCACGGATATGTGTACCTCTGCTGGTAGATAGCTCTTAGATTATCAAGCCACCGCACTGCCTGACTGCCTGCTTTGAGGTTGCACCAACCACGCCTTTACACCGCTTCAGCCTCTCAAAATGGTTAGATTCCGGGATCGGTCATGTCAAACCCCTAGCCGCGGAAATGGTAGCGGCTTCAGCCAACTGGCCTCGTCCGCACCGTTGGCAGACAGCATCGCCGGGCCCATAGGCGGCAGACCCTGCGGTGGGAGGGACTTATGACGCACAGGCAAGGTTCAGAACGCTCTGACTGGCTATCTTCGTACCCTCCTCTTCACGTCCGATTGGTAGTGCGCCTCTTTGGTAAGGGATGCACAGTGCTGGTAAGAGGATTGATTGGCTCACTGCACAGGTGTGCGTTTCAAGATTGATCAAACATGTAGCATGAAAATCGGTTTCAGCTACGATGCAGGCTTTCTTGCGCTAATATAGACTACTACCCGTCGGACGTGGAAAGACGGCAAACGAGCATATTATCCGCCAACGTCCGTCATACTGGGCCTCTCAACCCGTCGGGCTCTCACAGTGTCTTTTGCGCACCAGCTGCACCACACACATGTTGAGAGGTTGTCTATCGGAAGCTTCAAGCACTGCATCCCAAGCGGTCAGGGCTGAACCATCAGTACAGCCTCCTTTGCTGGATGGCGGGTAAGCAAACGCCGCTTCTGTCATGCAAACCACAGTTCTCGCGGGAACCTGAAGCCATGTCTCGGCATTCAAGCTCTATGCAAGCAAGCTCGCAGCAGTAGCTGTGAAAGAATGACTCAACTGCCGCTCCGTGAGCTGCAGTGATGAGACGCTCCTGCGATGTGCAAGGTAGCGCTAGATCTCTTGTTTCTAGCGATGCATCAGCCCTTTGGGCCCAGCTCAGCTCATGGCTTCGTACGTACTTGGGGGAGCATACTGGGAGCATACTCCAACCTCCTAACGCACATCCATCTTCCCCCAGCTCACACAACACACTTCCGCTGGTATCTTTCTACAATCCATCACTTCTATCAAAACGTCAAGCGTCCTTCTACTCCTCAAAATCTTCCTCTTCTTCATCAGGTTCACCAATATGGCAAGCAAGACAAGCAAGGTTCTGCTCTTCGCAGTCCTGCTCCTAGGTCTCGCACTTTTGCTCTCCACGCAAGGCACACGCCCCGCCTTGTTCAATGGCACCAACCTCAACGGCGTGATACCTGAATACATCACGGCGATCACCAACACGTGCGCGTCCTTCGTCCGGCAAGCCTTTAGGGAGAGTCCGATTCTGCAAGTTGCAACGAGTGCGTACCAAGAAGCTTACGAATACGCCAAGGTAGGACTCACTAACCACTCCTCTTAGCCGCTAGCAGGCAGCTAACAACTATACCTAGGTACCACTGGCGGTGTCCTACGTCACCCTTGAGGCGCTTCCATCCGCCTACTTCCTTAAGGCGCTCACGCGGAACGAAATCACCAACACTCTCACCAAACTCATCGCGGAGCTATCCTTCCTAAAGTCGCTCCCCTACGACAACTACGCTGAGGTGATCGCGTCGGTGCTGCGAGTAGCTCTACACACAATCAGCAACGGCATTGAACACTTTATTGTGGGGCTTTCCTCCCTTGAGGAAGTGATTAATACCTCGATGAATCCATACACCGCAAAATTCGCCGTTCTGGCCATCTATATCGCCGCCTTCTCTATAGGGTATCTTATCCTTGACGTCGTTATTCGTCTTTTGGACCTCTTCTGGGCAAGGGTTATCGGTGCTGTGCGCTGGCTGTTCGTCGAGTAGATGGTCGCGACCGTGAGGCTGATGTGTTAAGGAATCTATGCGGGAAAAATGGAGGACAGGAGATCATCGTGTAGTAGGGGTATCTTAGCCTTTCGTGCCTGGGTGAGATGCAGTTATCATTAGTTGTTTGTATCCATTGTTTGTATGGTTCTTAATGACAAATACGTGGATACTTACCCTTTAACGTTCTTGCTCGAGTGTTTTGACATGCTGTGATTGCCTCTGCACAACTAAGGGGGCCGCGGTGGTTGCGGCTGGTGCGAGAAACGTCGACCAACGACTGAATCGCATCACAAGTGCGCGCATCCATCTTGCGAGTAACAGCTTTCGCACTATTGCCCCTATGTACACTCTCAGGTGACCGCTCCTAAAGCTTCACTCTCCGTAGTCAAGCCGCCCCACGCATACGCTTGCTTATGGCTAAGGATCTACAGCCTCTTTCATCTTCTTCCTGTGCGTCGGACCAACTGCGCCGCCGCGCGTGTTCTTAAACACCCGCCCTCACCTACATGTGCCTGTTGTAGTGTGGTCTATTGCTCCCACCTCCGCTCCTAAACGCTTACTAGTCTGTGAGTTCAATCGGTTGGAGCATCCCACTGCCGCCGGAGTCGCGCACAGGCTTGAGTAGGCACCGGGAGCTGAACTCACGCTTGGGGCCTTAGAGCAGCGGTTTCGTCTTGGGGGCGCTGCTAGAGCGCTCTAGCCTAGGCTCGCCTTCCGACACACTCGCATCCATTAAATCCGAAGTGCTACCCAGATGGCGTTTTGGTATGTGCGACTGCCAGGGGTCTGGCCTGGGGAAAGAGCCCTCGGAAGTGACCTCAAATTGAGCGCGATGCTGAACGCGCAACTATGACTGCCGTTGGTTCTACCGATAAGAAGGGGTAGAGATATAACTCGCCTGTTTTGCGGCGTATGGGTGGAGTTTTGGTATAACTAGGCTGGATGTTGATCCGCGCGGCGGGCTTCCTTTCGCCTTCGTCCGCAATAAGTAGATCTATAACCTCTTCTTTGTAGACTTCGACAAAGGGGCACTCAACGTAATAGTTCCACTTATCGCTATTGACACTCTTCTCTAGCTAACCAGTGATGTGTTCTGTGACAAACAAGGCAACCGAATTACAGTCTGTGAATAAAGTGTGAGACTTGCCGGAGCCTGTTACCCTATCTGCAAAGATACAGACGTTACGGCTGTTTAAGAAATCTTGTATCATCTGCTGTAGATATTCACACACACTTTGGTTGGTGGCCGACTGCGAAAACACCGCGTCAAATTCGTAATGAGCGCTTGGGTCTCGAAGTACATCCCGTACATCCCTTGGGCAACCGACCGTTGCAGTCTGAAGAATGAGCTCTCCCGCCCCGGAACGACTACACAGGTCGACGGCAATGCGGCTCCAGCCTGCGTCGCTCAGCACGTAGCCACGTACGCGTGCTGCGACATGGAAGCTTGATGCGGACGGGAAGAGCTTCACCCTTGTCTTATGGTCAATCACTTGGAGCGCCCGATACTGGCCTTGGAGCGAATTGAAAGCCTGATCTAGCTCCTCGGCCTGCATGGCGGCTCGCGTACGTAGACTGGCGTGCTCCTCCTAAGGTGCGGCGATGGACCCTAACGGCTCGACAGCTTGTTCTACGACTTTCGGGGATAAGGTGCCGTGCTTGCTCCCAAGGTGAGCGCTAGTCCTATGGAGATTCGCCGTCCGTTCCATGAAGCGTGCTTAAAGCGCGGGCAGTTTCTCGATCTGCTCCACGACCTCCGACTATAAGGAGGAGTTGTTGCTCTTAAGGGAACTGTGCTCTTTTTAAAGGGTCGCTATCTGTTTAGTCAAGCGTGCTTGTAGATCCTCGTGCTTTTCCTTAAGCCAGGCGTGGGTCCTGATTGGCCACTCATCTCTATGCATAACATTTGGTTCAAGAGCTTCGAACTCGGTCTTGAGCCTTGTATAGTTCTCCATTAACTCTGTGTTCCACTTTCTTACTTGTAAACAGAGGTCGCTAAAGAAAAGCTCAGACGATCATATTCTTTGACTAGGTGTCCATTCTCTAGTTCCGTGCCCGGCCCTTCGGAAAGCAGGCTGCTTTGAAAGTGCGGCGACTTAAATACCGGGGTTGCATCATGCTGCTCCTCGTGGCGGACAAGGCCTTTTGGCTAGACTGGCTGTTCATCTATCTGTGGGATACGCTGCGGCTGCTTCTCGACCTGTGACCCATGCTCTGGCCGCTCCTCTGTCTTTAACCGATGCTTAACCTGCTCGTGTAGTCCGTTGACTAGCAAGGGCCGTTCGTCCTGCAGCGCTTTGTGCCTGTTGTGGGCGTGCCGGCCTTGGAGACGCTCTTTCCGGCTGCCGCACTGGATCGACTTGTATGGACGTAATTGCGGCGGACGTTGACGTGGTAGACATAACTGTGCTGGACGTGATCGTGTCGGACGTGACTGTGCCCGACGTGACCATGGCTTGCGCCTTCTTGCTAAAGGACCGCTATGCCTTAAGAGGGCCTGAAACAGCTTGCGTATATTCCTCTAACTCGCTGTCTGGCAGCCCCAATAACTCGCTGTCTGTATTGTAAGACTCGCCACTCGGGGCGCTTTGAAGTAGAAGAGTTCCGGAAGCGACGCGCGGGCTGTAAAGACGGCGCAGGGCCCCTTCGACGACTATAAGGGCCGCTTGAACAACTATATAGGACCCTCCAAGGAACGTTTCGAGCTTACACGGGAGGACGGCACTAAATATACCTATAGTCAGCAAGTAGTATGCACTTTGCACGACCAGCATCGGTGAAAAGTAATAGGGGAAGCCCTTGTATGTCACGCGTGCGATTGGGATAGTTAGTCAGTTAACCTCTAGACGGCTAGCTGCAGTACCGCCGCTATTAAAGATCCAGTACCGGTCCAAACAACTCAAATATTCAATGAGTCGGCATCTATCTATTGAAAACACTATGCGTCCCGAAGCCGTTCCAGATCAGCACCCGCTGTTTCCTACCTGCGCGTGACTTGGTGAGGGGATCGAACAGGCGCTGTATCCAGTACAGACTGATCTGAGAGTCGGTGTATCCGGTGCTGGAGCAGGCAAAATGCCAGCTAGGAGTGGGATGGGTGGTCTGGAATGAGAATCTGAGAATTGTATTAGATAAGAGCGCACTAGCGCATGATAGGCTGAGGCTCCGTGCGGGGATGCCACGTCAGTCGTCCAGCTTACAGTAAGCTGAGTCCGCGTGATATGTGCAGCCCATTGTTATTAGTATATAGAGAGCTTCTCCCACTTTCCTTCGCTCGACTTCTTTAGCGCCTCTCTGTGTTCCCTCCGCCAGCGAACTAAGTACCTCACTGTATTCTGGGAGTCGATATAGCTCACGCGTTCCATGCAACTTTAATGCGACCGTACGCGCACCTCAATAACGAAAGCCGACGACGTCTCTTCTTGAATGCTCAGATAGCATCGATCATGGCGCAATCAAATGGCTCAGAGCCGTATCAATACACCAAAATCGACAAGCTAGACTCAATTAGACTCCTTGAGCTGCTCCCTGGGACAGATGACCCTCTAAGATGCATGTTGGTGGAAGTCAGGTTGTCCCAAAAACCAACATTCGAGGCACTATCTTACACTTGGGGCGGGAACGAATTTCCTAACAGAATTGACGAAATATCATCTCAATCAGCACTCTACATAACAGATAATCTCAGAGATGCTCTCCGAGCATTACGTCCTAAGAGCGCGAGCCGTATACTCTGGGTCGATGCTCTCTGCATAAACCAGTCAGATAATGTGGAGAAAGGCTGGCAAGTTGGTATGATGAAAGACATCTACCAAAGTGCTAGTAAGGTTGTCGTATGGTTAGGCAAGCAGCATGACCATCCCGACGTTGCCGAAATCGAGAAGAAGGGGTTCGAAGAGCTCGAGCGTATTGGCCGCAATTGTTCGCTTTACGGGTTCGATACGATCTTTCCGCCGTTCCCTCGAGCCATAGTGGACCAGAGTGCACTTGGGCACTTCAAAGAGCTTGCTAAGGACTGCAACGGGCTTAGTTTGCTTGCGATCTACCACCGGGAATGGTACGAGCGCGTGTGGGTTGTCCAGGAATTCATCCTTGCCAAGGACCTTATCTTGCAGTCTGGAAGCCGTTCGGTCAGTTACGAGCTTTTCAGCAAGGCAACAGCAGTCCTTCAGCTGATGGCTCGTCGTCGGAGTCTGAGAAACGAGTGGATCAGCAATAGAAAGGGTCTTCCTCAGTTATTTTTCAGGCAAGAATTCGACCGCTCGTGGCGATTGATACAACAGCGCGAGCGATACTGGGGCATGCGTGAGACGCAATACTCCGGCAGCACAGCGGGCACGCAATCATCTACCTACACATCTGTCTATGCTTACGAGGACCCGGTCATTCGTCCTTCCTCCATAATCGAATACTGTGCGTTTGGAAAGAATCTTAAATGTAGCAATGAGGTTGATCGAGTGTACGGAATGCTGGGGATCGCCTACGACTCTTTGTCCATTGAACCTGATTACAGCTCAGCTCCAGAAAAAGTATGGGAAACGTTGGCCGTTAAGACACTTTTACTCGGTGACCTCACAGTACTTCATTATGCCGGTGTGTCCGCTACGAGAATGTCACGGGTTCGTTCTTTTGCTGCGGATTTCGGTCGTTGGTCCAACAATACTAGGCGGCTTGGTGGTCACGGTTATCCGAAATTTCACGCGGCAACGCAGATACCTGCCAAAGTCGAACTTGAAGAGGATGGATGTATGCGTGTCCATGCCATCAAGGTTGATACCGTGAATCGGGTGAACTTTGCTTACCTCAAGGATGAAGATGCTCCGTCTCCGTCGACAACAGAAGTACCGGGAAATGTAAATCTCTCTGGGCAGCCGGATTTCATCAGGATCGATCAAGATGCATTACAACAGCTCTACAAGTGGTGGATGTATTGGTTGGCAGCGAAAGGCCCAAGGTACTACAGTGATAGGATTGGAAAATGGGCTTTTCCGCGGACGATTATAGCCGATAACGCTCTGCCAATTACCAGAGAAGAATTTGCTCAATACTCCCTGGAAGCAATGGATCTATTGTTCGTTATCTTCATGCTGGTAGAGGAGTCGTCAGATGACACAGGCAATACTAAGACGTTCGTCGACACGTGGAAGGTGTATGAGTGGATGGGTAAGCCGATGAAGATCTCGTTGTCGACATTCACCAATGACGAGAACTTCACCACATATCATTTCCCATCGAGAGGTGCCGGTCAGGAGCAAGATGATGTGTTGCATACCATGCTATCGCTCTATGAGTCTGGAGGGATCGCAGAGGCCGGTTTAGAGTATGGTCGTGCCCGAATACAAGACATCCTTGGCTTCACTACATTGTCACAAGCAAAGGCCATGGAGATAACGAGTCCATTAAAGGAACAATTGGAGCTCTACGTCACGGTAGTATCTATGATACTATCTCAACGCCACCTTTTCTTCACGAATGTCAGATTCCTGGGTATAGGGCCAAAAGGTATGCGACCAGGAGACGTAATAATGGTCCCCGAAGGCTCACAGACACCGTTTGTCTACCGGAGGATGGAAGGAGGAGAAGACAACAAGGAAGGAAACTGCGTGAGACGAGGTGAATTGATCGGTGAATGCTACATCCATGGTCTGATGGAAGGCAAGCCCGCTCAACAGCTTGAGGCAGATTATACTGAAAGTCATATCGAGGTGATTTTGAACTAATAGCTTGTCGTGTAACATTGTATAAATCCCTAGCGCTATTATTATTCTATTATACTCGCAATATTCGAATAAAGTAATTGCTTGAACTCGATATACTCTTATTAACAATCGAATACTATGCTAATTTACCATCTATACTAGTATTATTATGTCTTTTATAGTATATCTAAGTTATAAGATATATTAAGGGTAGCGGTATATAGTTGCAACTATAACTATAACTAGTTTTTTTATCCCCTTTATTCTCTATTAGCAAATCGTTTAAAATTAATTCTAGTTTAAAAGATTTAAGATATCTAGAACGCTCTAAGCGCTAGCTAGTAATATTTACTAGTAGTAGATATAGATAGTTTATCTCGCTTACTATAATAGAAAACTATATAATGCAGCTAACTATAAAGCCTTTATAGTAAAAAGCCTACTACTTATAATCTTTACTCTATATATAGTATGTAGAAAAGTCTTAATAGTACTATTTAGTACAATCCCTTATATTCACTATAAAGAGGTTAGTAGATATAGTTTTACGGGTTATCTATAGATAATATAGGTCTTAATATTCTAGTTAGTCTAGTAGTAAATAGGCTACTTACTCTTAAGATAGAGTATAAACTACTATACTAGAATAAAGTAGCTATATATATAGAACTCATATATATACTAAAGAGTTTTATACGCGGTAATATATTAAGTAGTAATATACTTCTAAATATTATTTACTACTATAGAGAGTACTATACTAAGCTATTACTACTACTATACTTATAGCGCTATTATAGTAGAATTAGAGCCTTTAAAGATACATTTAAATATATACTTAATAGTATTATAGTCTATAAAGCACTCTATATTAATATACATTAAAGAAATTGGAGAAATAAAAATTATAGGCTGTAATATTATGATTTCTATATATATAGATTTATTTATTCACTTAAAAAGTTTACTTATTTTTAAAACGCTTATAAAGATGCTAGTAGTCATTATTAACTATAGTTTTAGCCTAGAATTAGTATAAAAAGATGAATCTATACCTATTATTATATATATAACTTATAGCTAGGTATTACTTTCTATAAAGACTATATAGTATATTATAAGTAACTATATTATAGAGTAGAAGCTCTACTACTATATTAAAAAGATTTATATAGATAGCTTTTTTAATATTCTCTATAGTACTATAGTAGAATATAGGATCTAGGATTAGTAGTATATAAGTATATAGAATCTAGGATTAGTAGTACATAAGTATATAGAATCTTATACTTTAAGAACTTAATAATCTAGTAGATAACTGCTATATAGCTAAGTATCTTATACTTTAGAATCTCGCGCTATAGCTATTTTAGCTTTAAATAGAAAATATAGTTTACTAGATCTAGATCATCTATAGTAGTCTAGTAAACTATAAGCTTATACTAGATTTTCTATCACTATAGATTATAAATAAAGGTAATAAAGAATTTAGAGAAGCTAAAGTAGTATATAAGAGCTATAGTATTAAGATAGAGATTATATATATACTATAGGAATCTAGTACATAATATAGAAAGAATAATATTATAGCTAATATTTTAGCTAGTAACTTAGTTATTCAAATGTAGCGTATTAAGTATACTACTATACTATACTCTATATAAGGTCTTCTAGTTATACTTATACTACTATAAGTAGGAGCTAGTAATTAAAGTATATATATCCATAACTATCTTATAAAATAGTCTTTCTATAAGTAGTTAAGTAGATAGTAGATAGAATAGCTATAGATAGTATTTCTACTACTACTACTATAAGATCTATATAGAACTATAATAACTAAACTATATATTTATATTATTATTGCTTTTTTTCTTCTATTTACTTTTCTCTTTACTACTTAAAGTAAAACTCTCTCTATAATCTCTATAGTAACCTCTTTATCTTCTATAGTATTATAAGTTAAACTGCGGCGAGTATAATTAAGAGTAATTAGTGCTAATTATTAAATAATAACTAATTACTCCTAGTCTACTAAGGCTATAATTAGTGTAATTAGTATAATTAGAACTAATTACACTAAGTAGACTAAGTAAAGTATAAAGATACTTACTCTTAGCTATAGTATATAGATAGCGCTATTCTTATTTATTATAATAGTATACTTAACTTAGAATAAAAAGCTTATACTCTTATAATATACTTAGTCTTTACTTTATAGTAGTAATGTAGCTTTATAATATCTTATAGTATTCTCTAATCCCTTAGTTAGAATTATACTATACCCTAGTAACGGTATTACTATCTAGAGATAGTATTTATCGTATTTTAAGTACTATCTTTAAAGGAATACTTAAGAAAATAATACATTAATATATCTACTATAGAATCTATTTCTAGATAGTAGAGAAACTAGACTATAAGAGTCTCTCTAGACTATAAACTTATTAAGATTAGAGTTTCGAATAAATACTATAGAGAAAGAGAAAGGCTTAAATTCTTTCTTTTTTAATATAATCTATATATCTAGTATAGCTAAACTTATTTTTAGATAGAAAATAAAGTTATATTCATAATTATCTACCTTTAAGAAAGAGTAATTATTAGATTTAACTATACTTTAAGGACTCTCTTAAGAACTTAGATAATAACTAGAAATCTAAGATAAAAGCTATATTTATAAATATAGAATCTTCTATAGAGAAGATTTACTAGATGTTTAGAGATATTAATATAGAATATACTATAGAAAAGAAACTTATAAGCCTAGTATAAAGAGGCTTTATAGCGGCCTATATTTCTTCATTCTAGATTATTATAACTAATACTAATTAGAGTAATATCGTCTTAATAGTATAGTATTACTAAAAATCAAAGAAGAGTATTAAAAATAACTTAGTATAAAAAGAATAGTCTAATAAATTATAATCTATAATTAATACCTAAAATAGAATTAATAACTATCTATTTAAATAGTATATAGAAAAGGTTAGAAGAAATATATTAGATATAGTAGTTAAAAAAGTTTAATTAACTCTATAGAGTTTAATACTAATACTATAAGATACTTAGTATATTTTATAAGAGAATTATAGAGAGAATCTAAAGCGTCTTTAGAAAGAGAATAAGAACTCTTCTTAGAAAATGAGAAACTCTTTACTAGAAAATATTTTAATTATAATTAAGTAGAATACTTTACTAGAGACTATCATTAGTCTAAGAAGTAAGTATTAGTATAAACTAATAAAAACCCTACTTCTAAGTTAAGAAACCTTATAGCTATAGAGTTAATATACTATAATAGTATAACTTAGACTATATACTATAGTAATAGATATTAGGTATATCTTAGTAGAAAATAAGATTTAGAAGAGTATCTATTCTCTCTATAAATATAATAAGTATTATAGGTTACTAAGTATTAACTCTAAGTAGTTTAATCTCTTACTATCTAAAGAGTAGAGCTAAGAATAGCTAGTAGATAAAAATAGCAACTAGTAGAATTCTAAGGTATAAAGGCTAAAATTGTAATAATTTTAGTAAAGAATAAAGAACTAGAGTCTAAAGAAAAGAAATCTCTATTTAAAGAAATCTCAGAAATAGAGTTAAAGAACTCTAGTATCTTTAAACTAGCTCTAGACAAAGAATTATAGATAAAACTACTAATAAAGAACTTGTAACGAGGTGCTATTACGAGATAATAAAGGTTACTATAATAGGTGGGATCCTAATTAAGGAGATAGGGAATAGTGCCAAGATATAGTTAATAAGGTAAGAATTAATATTATATAGTAAGATTAGATTAAGTTATAAAGAATGCTAGATTCTTATTTAAGTTGAGTATACTATTCTAATAAACGAGAATAGTATCTTCTATATACTATTTAGTGCCTTTTATAGCTAGCTATAGCTAGTAGTGCTAGCACTACTATTCTCTACTAGCTCTACTATCTATCTCTAATCACGTGGCCCTTTCTGCTAGTAGTAGCTAGTAGTTACGTAGTAGCTAGCTTATACTAGCTATTATTTAGCCTTATACTAGCGGCGCTAGTCCTATCCTATAAGGTTGTAACACTAGCCCCTCCTTCTAAGGCACTTTATTCTTAAAGGCTCAGGCTGGATAATATAAGCTATAGAGCGCTAATATTAAGATATTATCTCTTTACTATACCCTTAATTTATAAAACTCCTTCTACGAATTATAAGACTACTTCTACGGAGCGAGCTAATACTCTTACCGCTACTCTTTATATTACCGGTCCTACTATATCTACTCCGTGTTTTTATTATTAAACTAATAAGATGGCCTATAAAGTTAACCTTACTATAGGCTATTATACTAAGTGTATTATAAAAGGTTAAAAATACGACCTAGTAGTAACCTAAACTAAGTATCTATTGTTTCTTTCTTAATTACCTACTTACTTACTACTTATTAGAGGGATAGCTACTCGATAAGCGCGAACGCCTTTATAAAGAGTATAAGGAGGCTAAAAGTACTTTATCGGCCACTATTTCTTAGAAACTTTAGGCTAAAGCTAAATAGAGATATTATAAAGAGAAAGAGTCTAAGATAGTCTATTAAGAGCTCGCTTCTCTTAATAAGATCTGTAAACTAGAGAGTAGATAGTATTAACTTAAATAAGAGTCTAATACCTTTAACCTCTTCTTAATTCCTAGCAACCTCTCTTTATTACCTGCTACTTAGATAGAGTTAGACCTTAGCTTTCTATCTACTAACTTTAGTTATACTTCTTAATTTCCTCTTCGCTCCTATCGAGATTAGTATATAGTTCCTATATATTCTTTAAGTCTAGGTAGCCTTTCTATTTTATAAGGTATTATTATATACTATTATCGAAATTAGTACTATTATCTAGGATTCTTTATACTTTATATCGTCCTTCTTATTCTATTAGGTAGTTATTTGGTACTCTAGCTAATACTAGTACTTCTAGAGAGGCTAGTTCTAATAGTAAAATATAGAATACTAGGTATATCTTTATTCCCTCTAGTAGTCT